CTGCTAACCCAATGCTACACCAATCTACATACTTGCTGGGGACTTTTTTTTTTTTTTGAAGTTCAGAGGCATTTTTTTCCTTTTAGTTTTTCCTGCACCCTGCCTGCAAAAAATGGACAGGTCATGGTTTCTATTTCACATTATTACCAACCCAGAAAGTGCCCTTCTCCTTAAAAAAACAAAACAAACAAACAAACAAAAAAACCCAACAAAGGTAAAGACAAATATGTTTGCATTCCAAGATATTTCCAGAAGCTGCTAGAGCTTACAATTAAGCTGATTTGAGAAGGAACAGCATTTAGTTTCACAGGTATCTGTAGATATCTGATCCTTCAGCTCTAGTTAGACTACCCCTCTAAGTGACTTTGGTACTCAAAGATCCCCACTCACCACTTCCTTAAGACTTAAACAAAAAAAAGAAAACAAATAAAAACTCCCCAAAGTTCTGACTACCTTGAATTGTTCTTGTGCCCAAATAGGGGCAAGCAAATGTCAATATAAAAACAGCTACTAATTCCCTGGTGACCAGCTCAATATTTCATTAGCAAAGGCACTGTGAAGCCACGTAGAATTTGGGAGAGAGAAAAAACAACAAACACGTAACAACCCACATCTAACCTGAAGTTTATTTTGTGACTGTCATTGAATGTCCCTTCTCTGAGAGCATTATCAGCATCCAGAACATGCCACTGGAGCTGAGAGGCATGTTGTGTATATGGTGCTGTGGTCCCAGTCCCCTGCTCAAGTTACAATACAAAACAATACAAACCAGCTTGCTCCAGGAAAAAAAAAAAAAATAGAAGTCTGTCTTCATACACTTATTGGAGCAACCTGGGGTTGTGTTGTCAGGTTTTGCTGTTTTGATAAGACCTATTGTTTTGTCTCACTGACAACCAAGCAGCCTCAGCAGCTGACCTGCACTTTAACAAAGTGCTCAGGAATTAAAACAGCTCATTAAAGTGCTCGCTGCCACAGACACCTCCTTTCCCCATAATGCCTTTATTAAGAACCATATTAAGAACCAAAGCATACGGGAGACCAATAGGGAACCATTCTGAGAACCACTGTTTTACATTCCCTCCTCCTCCTCCTGCCATTGTTTTTTTCCTCTTAGCATTGAAAAAAGCTAATCCACAATTAAAGAATTTTTATATTCCTCAACTGCTCCACCATTATATGGGTTTCAGATTGCCCCTGCAACCTCCCTCCACTTCTGAGTGTCTTGCTCCAAGTCTAACAGCTCCAACCTCACATCCCTTGTCAAATTAGCATTATTGAAGCACAAGTGAGTGATCTGGAGCAATTTAAACTAATTTAGATCACAGAACTCCTATCCACTGCCTGTTTGCAGTCCTCCAAACCCCACCTGCAGGTACAACCCCATGACTCACCACACTGGCTACAGGCAAAAACTGCATGGAGAAGAGACACTGAGGTACCAACCCCACCAGGGCAAAAAATACCACAGTGCTGATTTTTGGGTTGAGGCAGAATAAGCAGGGTGGGTGTAAACAAAGGGACACAGTGGAGCAGCTCAGACTTGGAAGATGACAGTCAGCAGCAGGGAAGGAAGACCAGACATCATGAAGCTCAGCCTCTGCACTGTGACTTCAAGCAGCCTGGCATCTGAAAAACCAGTGTCAGCCCAGGGCACCTCAGGTCAGATGTCACTTAGTTATCACACATGGAAGAAACTATTTTATTTCTCAGGTCACTTACTCCACGTAGGACTTTGGAAGAGTTCAAGACTCTTCTTCAATACTCACCCCACTTAGGTATGCACACTCACAATCACTTTTAATATGGTCTCAATTTCTTTAAATGCATGTAAAAGCATACCAAAGGCACTAATATTACTTAAATCACAAAAACCCCACAAGAGCTGCATGGAGCAAGCAAATGGTTGCAGTACTTGAGTCAGTACAGTTGAATCAGTAACAGGGACAGTTGGAAAAGCTCACCAGTTTTTACCAGAACACAGGAAGCCTTCAGAAAAGAGTGAGCAGAAATTAAACAGAAGTTAACCCCCAGATATAACAGGCTACGAGTCTACTTACATATCCAACCCCCCCCGTGCTTACACAAGGTCAAAAAATGTACAGCAGAAGCTGAATACTTACTATTGAGAGACTCCAGCTAAATGTCAAACTTCTTCTCATGAAGCACAACTAGTCGGTTAAAAGAGAAATTCCAGACAGCTGAACAACTATTCTAGGTTACCAAATGCTCGTTTTCATCAAGTTAGAAAGCAACTATTCCACACTACTGCTTCCTTAAACAGATCATTTATGGCAAAGAGAATCTGCACGTCACATGCAGCCATGAGCTCCTGTAGTAAGGGTATACCTAGAACTCTTAGCTTATCTTGAGCGTGCAGACACCTCACTGAATGTCACTAACAACTCCAGCAGTTGCTAAGGCATTAACAGGTGCATGCAGATATTCAGGAGTGCAGCCACAGGATGAGATTTTTAGCCATAGTATGAGAGGGTTTTGTTGTTCGGTTGTTTTTTTTTTTTTTCCGAGTGTGCCACCTTAAAGGAGTAAAACATCCTGTGCTGGTCGTTAACTACACTGAAGTTTCTCAAATTGATCGTCAACTAAAACCAGAAGACAGTGCTGGAGACGCACAAGCACATCATCCAGCTCGCTGTGCCCGGTTATGCAACCTCACCTCCTTACTGCTAACAATGCTGCTTTCCACCCTTAGGCTTTCAGCGACATTACTGAAGTCTCAGGCCAAAATCCTCCTCCGGGAATTCCTGTGCCACTCAGTGACCCCGTCCCTTTGTATGGCTACTCCGCCAACTCCAGCCAGCGCTGGAACTGCCCGAGTTTAGGGACACCTAGCACACATTTCCTTATCTGGCTATGAAGCAATTTTTACGTAAGGGACGAAAAAGGCGATCCGATTCTTCCCAAGGTGCCGGGCGGACCTGTGGGCTCCCCGGAGGGGATGGCGGTCCCGAGGGGGCGCAGCAGGCGGGGGATGCGGGGACATGTGCGAGTGGGGGAGGGATGGAGGGAGGGAGCGCTGGCGGCGCGTTCCCCTTTAAGTGTGGCAGCGCACACATGGAGCCGCATTGTGCGGCCCCGCGCATGCGGGTCCCCTCGGCGGGGCCGGGCCGGGCCAGCTCGGCCGCCCGCCCGCCCGGGGACAAAGGGAGGGGGCGCGGCGACACCGAGCCCGGCGGACACCCCGCGGACACCCCGCTGCCCTCCGCGGCCGCCGCCGCCCCGGCCCTGCCCGGCCCCCGGCCCGCTCCCCAACTCCTCCTCCCCCGCGCCCGGCCCGCCCTCTCGCCCCCGGCGGACCCCCCGCCCCTCCCCGCGGGTCCCCCCGCGGCGGTCCCGCCGCCCCCCCACCCCCAACCATCCCGCTGCTGCCCCGGTGCTCTGCCCCCGCCGCTCCTCCCGACAACAAAGGGGGAGAGCGGCCTCCCCCTCCCGGCACGGGAGGCGAGGGGGAGCCACGGCGGGGAGGCGGGACGGGGGCACCGCAGGTCCCCGCAGGAAGGGGTGCGAGAGCGGGGGGGTCACCCGGGCCCGGAGTACCGGGGTGGGGGGGGGGGCCCTCCTTCCTCCGCCTCTCCGCGGGGCCTCACAAACACCCCCAAACGTCCCCCCGCGCATCCCCCGCGCTGCGGGACGAGCTCCGCGTCCCTTCTCCCCCCGCCCCGGACGGACGGGCCCGCAAGGGGAGGGCACGGGGAGCGCTCGGGGAGCCCCCGCCGGGCTCGGGACTGGGGGGGCCGGTGCCACCCCGCGCTGCCCCGGCGGGACGGGGGCGGCCGAGGGGACGCTCCCCCGCCGTGCCGGCCCCGCTCCCCTCCCCCGGCTCCCCTGGCAGCGATCGCCGGCCCGGCTCCCCCTCCCCCGCTCGGCCTAGTTCCCTCGGCTCCCGGCTGGGCACGGCGCGGCGAGGGGGGGCCGTAATCTCCCCTTCCCCCTCACACACACACACACACACACCGCCGCCCGCCCCCTCCCCGAGCCGGCGCCCCTTCCTTCCCCCGCCGTGGGCCGCGGCCCCTCTGAGGCCACCCGTCCGCCGCTCCTCCGCGGCGGATGACCCACCGCCCTCCGTCCGCCGCCGGTCCGGCTACCTGCTAGTTGTCTCCGCAGTAGCAAGGCGGACTGGAGCTCCGTCATTCTCCCTCGCTCTGCCCGGGGAGGGAGTCCCAGCGGCGGCGGGGACGGCGCGGCTCCTGGCGCTGCGAGAGGCGGCGGCGGCGAGCGTCGCTCAGCCCGCCCGCTCCGCGCCCGCCGGGGGTCTGGCTCGGCGCCGGCCGCCACAGCACGCAGGGTCCCGGGCAGGGCAGCGCGGCTGTGGCTCCGAGCCGCCCTCCTCCTCCGAGCCCTCAGCGCCGCCACCTCCCGCTCCCCCCGCCAGGAATTTCACCGCACTCGGCGCCGCGCAGGCGCGCCCGACCCTTCCGCGTCGCCATCTTGAGAGGGGCGGGCAGGCGGCAGCCGCGTCCGGCCGCCATGTTGGGAAGGTCCCTGTCCTCCTCTCACCCCCCTTGCTGTTAAAGCCCAGTCTGCAGGCGAGCGGTTCGTGAGGGTAATGTCCTCGCGAAGGACGTCTGTGGCCTTAAACTAAATCACAAGAAGTTTCACCTCGACATGAGGAAGAACGTCTCTCTGTTGAGGGTGGCAGAGCGCTGGAACAGCTGCCCAGGGCGGTCGTGGAGTCTCCCTCTCTGGAGACATTCCAACCCACCTGGACGCGTCCCTGTGTGACCTGCTCTGGGTAACCCTGCCTTGGCCTGGGGTTGGACTGGGTGATCTCCAGAGGTCCCTTCCAACCCTAACAATTCTGTGATTCTGTGCACGTCCTCATGAAAGACATTTTTAGGACAAAATTCTCCCCTGTGAGGGTGGGGAGGCCCTGGCACAGATTTCCCAGAGAAGCTGTGGCTGCCCCATCCCTGGAAGTGTCCAAGGCCAGGTTGGACAGGGCTTGGAGCAACCTGGGCTAGTGGAAGGTGTCCCTGCCAATGGCAGGGTTTTGGAATGAGATGATCTTTAAGGTCCTTTCCAACCCATAATATATTTTTCTATGATTCTATGAGGGGCGCAGTGCTGGCGGCTGCTGTCCTGGCTGTCTCTGCCGGCACCTCTGAGGGCAGAGGGACTCTCCAGAGGGACAGCTGGCTGGACACGTCTGCCCTCAGGACAGTAAGTAAGAACAGCTCCCTGGCCATGATCTTTCCTCAGAGCCCTCAGACTGCTGCCATCTCCCAGCCCACTAAAATACAGGCAGTTTTGAGCAGGAGGATATACCCAGGAAAGGTAAAAAGTGGGATAAAAGGCCTAAATCAACCCTTATACTTGTGAAGGGTGAAGGGGCTCTCCTGCATTAGTGTATCCCTGGAGGACAACCTAGGCTTGGGTTTGGATCTCCAGCAAACGCCTTCAGTAAAGGGGCTTTTTGGGGACATGACTGCAAGTCTGAGGATAGGCACTGCTCAGGGAAAGAGCTAAAAATTAAGATAGTTAATCCCAAAGAACTAAGTAAACGGCCAGGAGAGGTCTGACAAAAATACAAATTGTCTGTATGCTCATGTGTTGACTGTGAAAAATATACTGTGATAAACAGGTGCGTGAGATTCTAAAATAAAAGATATGGGCTGCTTTGCATCTCTCTCATAGTCTTTCAGCATCCTATTGCATTCTCTTAATTTTACATCTCGGTTCTCAAGTAAATGCAGTTCCTGGCTAATTGGATGAACCATTACCACCAGTGACAGAGAGCAGGGAACTCCCTGCTCTACTGCAGAAAGACATTACTACAAAGGAATTTATCCTGTATCAGTTTGACAAAATGTTCAAACCCTTTACAAAAGCAGCCCTCTTTATTTTTTCTACTACATGGGGTTTATTTTGTTTGTGAACACCAAACTTGACTTGCAATGAAGGAAAGAGAACGAGCCTATGAGAGAGATGTTTTTGGTTGGCGCTGCTGAAGTCATTTCCCATGCTGCAACTTGGAAGGCCCAAGTCTGAGAGTTTCATTACTGTGCTAGTACAATTAATCAGAATACTATTCCCAGATGTTCTTGCAGTTCTGATTAAATCTGTGTCATTTTCAATGATTAAACTAGGATGACAGAAGACATTCCACAGTGTATGATACCATTGCCACAATTCATCTCATGAGGGTGTTCTTTGCCAAAGAAAGTCTTTGTGAAAGCCTTTCTCCTTTGTAGGTTGACTGAAATTCCTGAATGTATTTTGTATTTGTATTTTGTATTGCTCCAGTCAGGTTCATTCAGTCTTAAAAACCATCTATCCATTTAAACATAGAAGGCTATCATGTGCAAGTGCATTTTGTAAACTTATTATGCTAAGAGACAGTCACCCAGATTGGAATTCAGGCGTGTTGATGGGAAGTGACACTATTGTGGATGGTATTTCTCTTTCAGGAATAAAAGGTAGGCTTTCTTCACAATGTCAGTTAAGCCAGCACTAAATTCACTCGCTCAACTTTCTGTACCTGATGTCAGTTCAGGCATGAGTACACTTTCTGACAGTTCTATTAATAGAGGACCTAACTACAGCACTGAAGACTGAAAGGTTATATGAAACAACTCTATTTCTATTGCATTCTGTTAATCAAAATCATCCTGAATTCTTCACCATCAGGTCACTCAGTGGCAATCATCTGAAAGGAAGTTTTCTGTGGTCTCCTGCACCTCGTGTGTGAATTTCCTCGTGAGGAACACAGAAGGCTGTGGGTTGGGAAAGAAAGGATTCGGTTTAAGCTGGCACAAATGACCTGGATTCCTTTATTCTGGCAGCAGATTCAACCCTAGTTTATAAAAGTAGTTTGTTTCATTATAGGAAGCATTGGCAGCTTGAAGAGCTGTAACCTTGCTCTGTGAAATCACCTTGTGTGCAGCTGCAAAATGTCCAGCATGGCTACAGTGGGGAGGGCAGGTGTGTGACCGGGGCATGAACGAGTTTAGTGTTTCCTTGCCCCAGTAAAGACTCCGTGGAATCCCATCATGAAAATGGAGCTGTCCTGCCTCAGCAGAGAAGGAACTCTGTTGGCTCGCAGGTCATGTTGCCTGTCCTTAAACACACCAAGCTGTGTGACAAGAGGGAGAAGCCTTTCCCTGGTGGATGAAGTGATCCTCTGTTCTGTTGATATCTGCTTTCTGTACTGCCTATGCACAAACACCTTGTCCTGTTTGCTGAGGCAACATGCAGCACATTGGAGGAAAAGAGCTCAAGATAAGAGAGACTGTTTTCTTGAATTTGTTTTATTCCTGTCTCTGGGATGCAGCCTCTGTGCAACCATCTCTCCCATCTCTGCATTGAATGGAAGGGCAATAAGAATTTAGAAATCTTTCTTTTTTCTGAGTCCATTTCTTGTCTAATGACTGTTCAGCTCTCACAGCCATTTGCATTAATCTTTTCCTTTGGCAAGGCTATATTATCATAATCATTCATGTCATGGTTAGAATTGGAAATCCTGGAACTTTTTCTGTCACCTTAAAAAGGATCAAGGTTTCAAATTCAGCATCTTGCTTTGCTTGACTGTGATGTCTTTCGTTTGACTTTCTCCCCCAGTTCCTCCCTCACGACGCAAATCACAGATTACACTGGTACATAGTTTCTGTTAAGTGGAGTCTTCCAGCTGGATTCACACTGTTAACATCATCTGCTCCCCTGCTTCAGCTTCTTGGCAAACTCAAAAAGCTGATGGTAAGATAGACACAGCTCCCTGCTCATGTTCTGCAATGTTCCTCTCATTTTACATGCTGGAGTCACTGAAGAGACATTCTAAATGGCAGCACTGTGAGGTATCAGTTTTTAGGCTTAAAACCAGTCCCTGTCAGGCAAACGGACCATTTCTATGTCCATTATTGCATTTGCAGGCTTGGGTTTCTCACAGTTTATATTTAGCAAACAAGTTGTTTTCTTAACAGTAAAGGCTGAGTGTTTTTAAGGGCTTATATTCTGGATCCAAATTGTCACCAGGAGATAGGATCAGTTTGCTGAGCAGTTCTGTGTTCCAGCCTACCCCTTGCACTTGGTTTTGCTGTGCATTCACTGATATATAAGTAGTTTGCTCTAAGGAGTCTCTCTTTTGAATAAGCCTCGACTGAGTTTGCTTGTGAGTAGTAAAATCTAAATTCACTCTTCCTGTATTGTATGCAGAGGTAACATGGCCAGTGCCATGGATGTGGCTCATAAAGAGAAATGCTCTGAAGGTTCCTTGTGAAGAGAGAATTTGGGAGGAAAAGGAGACAGCAATTCACTGTATTTTGGGTTTGATTCATAGCTCCTTGCTGGCCTGAATAAGAGCATAACAAAGACTAAAAGCTGTTTTGTTCCCAATCCACTGTGACCTATAAATAAAGCAGGGACTAAACCTGTGCTGAACACATCAGTCTGGCCTCAAGTATTTGTGTTAAGTTCAAGGCTACTCCTCTACATAACAGGTTCAAAAGTTTAACTGTTACTCAAACGTTGGGCTCATGTTTCACTGGGAAGTGGGTGTGTGTGCAAAGAAGCGGGATTTCCTGGAAAAATCTGGACCAGTGAATCAGTAGCATGGCAAACAGAGAGAAGCCTGGGGCAGGAATTGCTGCAGCTGCTACAACACATCTCTTCAGAACCTGCCTCCATGCAGGGCATGATGAAAACATTGGTATCGACTTGTATTGTAGCAAGGCTCAGCTTCTCCAGCTGGGATCAGAGCCCGGCTGGGTTTACACTAATCCTCCAGGATCTCCTGTACAGGGAAGGCTCTCTCTCCATCTTCCCTACGAGTCAAATAGGATGGCAGTCCATGGTGCTAAACTGTCTTGCCCAGGATACCAGAGCAAGCCCTGGAGCCAGAAATAGGAGCTGGTCCTGACTCCCATTCCCTGATACATGAAACCACAATGACTGTAATGTTCAAACCTCTCCATGTGTCTGTCTGTCATTCCTTAAAAAATCCAGCAGTATTCCCACTGGGTCACCTGACCACAGATAAAGGTTTTGGTTGTGGCATGAAACATGGACAGTGATTCCTTGAACCAGGGAGAGGGGATGTAGGTGTAGACTAAGTTGTTCACTGAAGGCTGACACCTGAACAAAGTGTTTTGGCTGGACTTTTGGGTAAGATTTGTGGTATGAATCAACCTCGACAGGAATGGCTGTGTTAAAACAGTCTCAGGAACTGCAGGAAATCCTTATGGATTCTTATGGTGGTGTTGACTCAGGCTTTTGGCAGGAAGGTGCTGTTTAAGACCTGGGTAAACCAGAAGGACCTTGTTCCAGACTTTATTTGTATAAGCTTAAACTATTACTTAAACTGATAGTGCTCCCAGCTGGGAAATGGAGACATGCCTGGTCATTAATGGCAGGAGAGGGTGAAATGACCCCTGAGAGGTGGTCACTTCACACAACATGGACATAATTTCTTCAGAATTGGACTTCTTCCCTCGTTATTAGTGAGAAACGACATCAAAATAAAACTGCAAACAAAAGCAGCAGAAATGACTGTCTTGAATGCCAAAATAGTGATGGGGAGGGTTAAACCAAAATGAAAATTGCAATTTTCTAACTTATATTTCTAAAGAACAGAGTGTGAGAGATTTTTACTTCGCAACCTGCAAAGCCTGACCTAATTACAATCAGTTTAATATACCTGATGGAAAGCAGTCATGAGATCCACTGCTGTGTCAGTGTTCAATCCTTGGAACAAACACAGGGATGTGAAATAGGAGGCAGGTCAGAATTGATTTGCCTTTTCTGAAATGCTGGCATGTTACTGGAAGACAATAAACATCAGAATTCTTTTTTGAGGAAAACAAGGACATATACTCAAGAATGGTTATTTGTATGTAAATTTGCTGCCAGAAGTTAAAATACTGTTTTCACTTCTTCCTTTTTCTTTTGTTGGCTTAAACAAGAGATTTAAATAATTCACTGATGGTTTAAAATGGCAAGCAGGAGATCATAATTTACATGATTTATTTTACATTTATAATTCTTAATTATTTTCTTAAATGTCAGCAGATTCCTTATGCTTGGCAGCATGCTAGTTTTTGACAGTCAGCAGGACTGGAGTAGTCATTGATTTAAGATATGTGGACATATATCTATTCAAAGTTCTGATTTTGTTCAAGTATTATTTGAAACCTTTTCTTTAAGAGATGCTGTGAACTTTTAACTGATTCTTTCTGTTAAGTTACATGTGATGAGATTCAGTTAAAATGCACAAAGGGATCATTAATGGGAGATGAAAATTTGGTTTTAGCTCCCCCAGCTTCCAAGATATTCATACTACCAGAGATCATCCTCCCACAAGCTAGAGCTCATCATCCTTCAGCTTGATTTGGTGCATAGTTGGGAAAAGGGAAAACCAAGCTGGTTCCTTTTCCAAACCCCTGTTTAATTCTCATCTCTTAATGAACCAGTCATCAAAATGAACTTGTTGAATAAACTGAAATGAAGAAATCGCTTTCTTTCTGCACCTGCAGGTGAAGCTGGGCTGGAAGGAGCTGGTTCAGCACTCCTGTGCTATTTCCAGCCACTTACTCAGTAACACCCACCAGTTCAGTGTTTTGACTTTCTCTGAAATTTCTGCAGCAAGCCCCAGCTCCTGGGATATTCTGTACCCGGTGATGCTGGATTTCATGGCGTGTGGGCTGCCCTTATTTCACATTTTATTTTAGATGGGGCTGTTTTTAAAAGGACAGATATACTCGGTTTAAAATAAAGAATTGCACTTTAAAAAATTGTTTTGTCTTTTAAACTGATAAATTCTTTCCTCTTGCCCACATTTTGCGAAATGTATCCTAAAAACTCATTTTGCAAAATGTATCCCAGTTGAAGCCTCTTACCTCAAATTGTGGCCGGAAATTGTTGATCATGAGGTATAGAAAGTGCTTGGCAACAAAGTGAATTTTTTCCTGGAACAGTAAACTTGCAGTTCTTTGAGATATGCTCATATTTGTACCTGACACATTCTGGTGCCTTTGCGAGCCCAAAATTAGTGCAGTGCACAAAAGGGAAGGAAATCTGTCTGCAGACAGGGAGGGTTTGGATAGAAATTCCGAGATGAACAGAGCAGGGGGTATAATATACCCTGCACAAGGGCTGTACATGAGCACAAGCAACAGTTCAAGGGCCAAATCCCTCGATGTGGATGCAGTTGTAGGTGTTAGATGAGGATTAGTCCCATAAGGGAAGCAAAATAGGTTAAGGTATTGTAAATCCAGCCGTCAGTGGGCTGGAGAGTTATAACACAATATTTGCCTCTACTGGAAAACTGTACAGCCACAATTCTTATCTTACACACAGGTACTCTGGCATTGAATTTAATTTTAGCAGGAGCCCAAGGAAAAGCCTGGCTTTGGAGCACCAGGCAGGGCTGTTGCTGAAAAAAGGGGTGGCCAAAAGGGCTGATGGCTCAGACCTGTGGGGTCTGGTAACTCCTCACTGCAGTGCTGGCTTTGCCTGAGCTCAGTGTGGGGCTGGGTAGGACTGGTTTGCTTTTCTGTCAGGACTATGAACTCCTCGGAGGAGGAGAAAAGGGGGGAGGGAGAATGGAGGCAGTGGAAACACAGGTGGCTTCAGTTATATTTGGCTTTTTGAACAGATTAATCACTTTGCTGATTTACACCGGCCTGATTCTGTAGTTTAAAATTATTTCTTAAGGAAGCATTTTAATGAACCGAGTCAGAAGATGCTCTGTTGACATAAGCCTTGTTGTGAGGTAAAGAAAATATTTTTTTTAGTAGTTTGGCAAATGGAGTGACTGCAGTTCTTCCATGACTTTGAGAAGCCAGTTAAACTCCTGTGACCGTTCTGGACTTTGAAACAAAGGTTCTTCTTAGCTTCGTTTAACTTTGGGATTTACAATAATAAATTCTCATAACACTTTTTTCCAAGCAAATGCACCAGCTGAAGTTGATTTTAATGCTCCTATTGATAAGAGTCATAGCATTATATCAGTATTACTTTCTACTATGTCTTATTTTTAGCTTAAGACAACAGTGTTACATAACAGGGGAACATGATTAAAAACTAAGTATCGACTAATATGAAAAGCATCTAAAAAGCTACTTTGAAGTGTGGAAAAGAGACTTTGCTGGTTGCTGGCTTATAAGAACAAAGAGATAATAGTTCTTCCACTGGTGCTGAACTTGTCTTAAGCAAAAGTAGCTTCTTGAAATCATGAGAACAAAATTCTTTTATTATCAGCCTGAGATTCTGTATTGTTATGCTGTATCAAAAGTGTTTAAAGTGTGCAAATGCCAACATGACTCCAGCAGGAAAGGAAGAAAAGCCAGAGGCTGTTCATATACCTTTCAATTTTATATGCAACATGTTTTTGAAACCAGGTAAAATTTCTGGTAATGTAAGGAGTGAATGGAAGGAGATTGTGAACGGAACGAATGGAAATAAGTGAAATTTCTATCCTTTTACTTTACTATTGCTAAGTAATTAATAGAGGATTCATACAGTAATTTTATTACTATCGTTGCAAATTTTGTAAAGAATATTGCATGCAAAGCAGAGCTTTAAGAACCAAGTACTGAAGCCTGAAAACATCTTGTGCATTAATTAACAATAATCAGAACTGTAGAAGTGTTAATATTTATTGTTTTCTTTCTCCCTTTACAGGTATCATTTGCTTTAGAATTACAGGCTTGAGGTCTCTTTGTTTTAGCACAGGAAGTGCAGAGCAAGGAATCCTTCCCAACTCCTTGTCTCCCAGATTTCCAATGTAACTATAGATGATCCTTCCCACACTTCACTTTTTTTTTGCTCCGTGTTCATGAATTTTTGGAGGGTTTTTCGTTAAAGGCAGACATTTGACTGGCCAAGATTTGTACAGACTTCTTTAGTGGGTTAAAATCAAACAGAAGATGCCCAGGAAAAGAGTGACTCTGGCCACTTCCTGCATTTGTTCTGGTTTTGGGGTGGGAGCTTCCCTCTGCCTAAGGTGGGTACCCATCAGTGACAGTATAGGTATATTTTAATCCCAGTTCCCTGTCTAAATTGCACCATAACTTTAAGAACTTCCAAATATTTACATAATAACTGTCATAAACATCAGCATCCTGGGGTTAGAGATTCAAAATGACAACGTTTTTCTTTTGTTGCTGGCAGAATTTGTTTCCCAGTGCTATCAATTAAGCCTGGCTCTAGTGAGTTCATGTACTCACCCTTCCCAAAAGGCTGAATATTGTCTCCCTTTGCCTTACTGGAAGCACTGAGGGTGACAGTAAATCTCCTTGTGCAGGACTCTCTTCTGGGAAGTAAAGTCATTCTCAACACTTAATTAGACTATTTTTAATTTAAATCAGTGTTTATTCAAATTTTTAGTTAACCCCAACCTTAACATTCTCTGTAGTGATTAAAATGCTGTGTTCACTTGCAGAATAGTTTTCCCTTTCAGTCTGGAGGTAGCAGGGCTGGGAAGAAAGAGGCCTCATAGGGAAAGGCCTGTTTTTGTTCTGTCAATACTTGTCTGTCATTACTCATAACGAATGACTCCTTATCTGTTATGCTGTTATCTTAATTAAGAGGACTCTGGTGTATCAAAGTGAAGATTGCAGTGGTCAACTAATGGTTCTTCTGGGGATGAATGTTTCACTGTGGCAGAAAGGTCAAAACATAGGTTAAACAGACATTTAATCCTACAGTTTTCTTCCCAAATCCAAGTAGATGTCACAGCCCTTTTCTGCTGTAATTGTGTCAGAAGTAAGCAGAATCCTAAAATGTGACAAATTCACTTATCAGCTACACCAATAAAAATAAGCTTGAGCTAAAAACACTGGTAAAGGCCAAAGCAGATAAGCTGGTTAGTGGAATCATATCTTTGGGGCCTGGTAACTCTCATGCCTCTGTTCTCCTGACCTCCATGAGCTGCTCTGTGCTGGAGCAAATCTCAGCTACAAGAAGCAACTCTGTTCAGTGATGTGCAGCTTCCTCCTTTGTCTGATGTTAGTGCAAGATGTTCTCATTTGCAAAGGAGGTTTTTTTTTTCTTTTCTTTTTGCTTTCCCAGAGAAGAAGGAGGGAGCAGTTAATAGAACTGGAGCGTGTTCATCTTCTGCTGCTCTGTGATTATGTGCTGGAACTGTAATTTCTTCTGCTATACCTTTTGGGGCAGAATTATATGGATACAACCGAGGAGAATGTTACCTGTGAGATGAGTTATTTAGGTAAGAACCTCAAGAAATTTTTTATAAAGTTGCAGTTTGTTTCTTAATTTAAAAGCTGTAGGAGAAGAGTCTGAACCAGCTTCTCAGCTCAACCAAAAGCATGATCTGCATTCCAGGAAGTAGGAAGTTATATATAGCTTATTTGTCAGTAATAATGAAAAAGTAGATTTTATAGTTTAGAGTGTGTAAATTTTATTTGCTGCTATCACAAGGCTAAAGTACATTTCCACTGGATCCACACTGTGTTTTGTGCTGTTATCCAGGCAACGTGAAAGGAACCATTTTAGATGGAAATTCAGGCTAAGGAGGCAAAAAGGATGTGGTGGCTAAAAATGTAGCATTTATTGAAACTCACAGAATGAGAATCTTCCAGGCAGATATTTTCCAATTAAGTGTAGAGTGAATCAGGTGCTCCAGCTGGTTTTCTTGAAGTTTTTTGGTAACAGAAGATTGCTCATGAAGTGCAGTGAACTCATAAGGATTGTTAGTCTGGATGATTGAGTCCCTTGTTACATATTTGTTTCACAAGATGTAGGCAAAGGCAAGAGACACAAATTGAATAATGGCTCATACATCTAGTTCTGCCTCCAAACGTGAAGAAAAACTGTGGCAATCTGGTCTTGATTATTCAGCTACTAAATGTCATTCTAAAATCCTAAATATTTCCTAACAGCATTTGAAGTCGTTAGCAGTTGCTACCTGAATGTTAATCATGACTAATGTGGCCACAAACACCACAGAGAGATAGAGCAGATTCAACAAAGTACAGGTGCAGAATTTCTCAAACTTCCCTCGGAGTTCCCACCCCTCCCAGCCAGGACGGGCTGTGCATTCCAAGGCAATAACAGCCTGGCAAATGTGCATCAAGCTGGAGCTGAAAGGCAAGGAAAATACACACGTTGGGAGATGAGTCATCCCTGGACTCTTGTAAGAGCATCTTTTCTGAGCGCGGGGTGAAGCGTTGACTCTGTAATCGGCCGTAACCGAAATTCACGCTGAATTTCACACGTGGTTACAGCGCTCGAGCCGCTGCCCTCGGGTCAGTTCGGTCACAGCTTGGTTTGAGCCGCAGGTCAAACTGCTGCCCTGCAGCCCTGCAGCCCGGGTGTTCACGTCTCAGTCCAACCCGGTGTTTTAGCACTACAGACAGAGTTCAAACCCAGCCTTGGTTCCAATACTGACAAACCTTAAAAAAACCCCAGCCTCTTACATAAATCTCTGTCCCTCTGCAGCTCCTTTGCAGCCATTATCGTTGTCTTTAGATCTCCTTGGAGTGGAATTTTCAGGTAGGTCCAGACATGCATTTATTGAGCTGTCTGTCTACCAGGATGATGTTAAATTTTACTCTTCTGATCTTTTCAGATGCTAAAATTTCTAAGTTTTGCAGCAATCCATATCTCAGTTGATGGCAAAATCTCATGATTTATGAATCTGCTTCCATCACAAGGGGTTAAAAATACCTACACCTCAAAATGCAGGCCAGTCTTATATGGTCACCATTAATTACTGACCAATCTTATATGGTCACCATTAAATACTGCTGGTTGCAACCCTATTGCAGCCATTAAATACAAGCTTGCAAATACACACAAGTATATATTTTCTTTTGGTTACTTTATGTTCTCTGTATGAGTCATGCACAGAAAGATGCCAAAAGCAACTTACTTTTTTCTTCCTAAAATCAGTATTGTAAGATCTAGTCAACAAGGAATATTATTTCCATATTCAGTTCTTTCACAGACTGTTGCTGTTTGCTATTCCATGGCTTAATAAGCTTCTTTTCATTGCAGGTACAGAAATGGTTTGGTGTTAATCAGGATAATAAGATATTTTCAATTTATATCTTTCTGACATCTTGGTTCACTATTAATGCCCCTTCTGGTGGAGTTTTCTGGAAAGGCTCTGGCAAAGCTCCAAAGCAGTTCATGGATGTGGCAGCACCCACTATTAAAGGATATTTAGATATATAAATACATTCAAGGGCATTTTGTAGTAAATACTTGGAAATCCTTTCTGGGAAAAGTGGAAGCTCTCACACACTCCTGTTGGGTTTCAGGTATGGCACGTTTGTTGGCCTGCTGAGTGTCAGCCAGCCAGTTTGGGTATCATCAAATGTGTTGGACTAGTGCCAAACAAGAAAATAAAGAGGTTCTGACTTGCTGCTCACATAGAAGGGTTTAACTGCATGGCACAGCCATGAGATCTCGTGCCCAAATGAACCACCAAGAGAACGGAGCTTCTGAAGGCGTGGAACAGGGAGGAAAAGCTAATTTTTATATTGCACCCCCAGGTAAGATGTGCAGGCAAACACTGCACTTTGTTCTGAGAAAGGAACTGCCTGACTGATAGAAAGGAACAAATAAGGAAAATAAATAATTGCCTATAAAGAAACGAGCTGTAATCTTGCCTGACAAAAGCTGACTGGTATTGTGTAATGGTATTCCGTATTCCACACAGCAGGAGTGGATTGTCACAAAGTTTTGCAGGAATTTTTGGCACAGTGTTGTCTGGATGAACAGCAAAATTGTGGCTGGAGACCAGAACAAGCAGGCAGTTAAAGGCAGGTGGTTATCAAGGAATGATGGCTTTAGGAGCTGACAGAGGGAGGCAAAGTCTCAGGGGCCTTTTAGAAACCACTGCAGACTTTTATCCAACAGTGAAACCCAGAGGGGATGGAAGGAGGTGACACTGAGATAAGGGAGAAAGGGACATGCAAAGGGACATGAGGGCTGGTACCAGTGGCCAGGTAGCACAGCAATAAAAATCATGAAGTGGAAGTGATTGAAACTTTAATGAAGGGCAGAAAGGGAAGAAAAAGAGGAGTTTAGAACTGGTGGTTTGGTGTTTGTGAGGAACATTTTCTGTTTAATCTGACTGTGTCTTTGGAAAATTTAGAATTTGGAAATTGTGTTTCAAAAGAGCAGAACTGAGTTCTTGCCTCAGCAGTTATAGTTAGAAACCTGCTTTTGGCTGCCTGTAAACATCATGTCTAGCAGTAAATGTCAGCAGTTGAGAGCGATATAGGATGTGCCTGGGAAACTCCGAGGCCGTTGGGATCAAAAGGCATTTAATATATGCAAAGTGCGAGTTAAACCCTGACGAGCCGCCCTGTGAGGCCTTCCTTACCGGCTCTGAGATGCGGCTGGGCATCACGCATGGAAAATATTCCCGCTGAAGGATGGAGAGGCGGGAGAGGCCGGGCTTGGAGCGCCATCGAGCGGCAAAGCCGGGCAGCGCCTCGGCACCTCCACAGCCCGCGGGGACTCGGCAAAGCCATTTCAGTAAGAGGTTTTAATATGTGTTTCTGATTGCCTTTTCTCCACGGCTGTGGGTGGAAACAAAGTTTTTAATCTCTACAAAGCTGTGCTCATTCAGAGTTCTCGTGAGGGATCACGATCCTTCAGCACCCTCACGAGGGGAGCGGAGGGGCAGGGACCGATCTCTTCACTCTCGTAAGCGGTGACAGGGAACGGCGGGAGCTGAGTCGGGGGGGGTTACGTTGGATATCAGGAAAAAGTGTTTTACCCAGGGGGTGGTCGGGCACTGGAACAGGCTCCCCAGGGCAGTGGGCACAGCACCAAGCCTGACAGAGTTCAGTAAGTGTTTGGACAGCGCTTCCAGGGACAGGGTGGGATTGTTGGAGTGTCTCTGCAGGGTTGGACTCGATGATCCTGAGGGGTCCCTTCCAACTCAGCACATTCTATGATTCTTTATTGCTCCCAAGCACAGTCAACTCTTGACTTCATTGGTTTAATGCATGGATAACATGCCATTTACTCAGTGAAGGGTCTATAGCAGAGAAAAAGGTAGTGGTGATAGTATTGAATAGAGCACAGATTGGTTCCCAGTAGCAAGCTGAACACTCAGAAATGTTTTCAGACACAAACTGACTTACATGGAGCTCCCTTGAGCAGGAATGGGGAGAGATGCCCATGATCTGTATCTAAATCCTCCCTTAAAAGGTTGAGAACTAAGATGTTAAAATAAAATAATTCCTCTTAAAATAAAAGTAATATTGACTTACCCATGATTAAATTAAAGTTGCCTTCTGGTTCATGAAGAACTAGATCTTCACAAAATGAAGATAGAGTGAAATACTGCACTGTTAAACTCACAAAGCAGGGGTCTGGATTTTACAAAATGGCAAAGAATACTAAGTGCTATTTTGCTTTTCAGTTTAGTCCAAAGTGTGAAATACATGGTTCTTAAAAAAGCCCTAACCACAGAGTCTTGTCTTCATGCCTGAGTCATGAACCATAAGCAGTACTCATTCCAATTAGCTGCCTCACTCTTAAACTCTTAGAGTTTACTGTTAATTTTCACTTTAAACTTTTTTAACAGGGTGCAAAAAATAAATTACCTTCTCAAGTTGGTAATCCACAAAACGGCTCAAAAGACATGTGACTGAACACTTTAATAAATGTGAGTGGCCAGAAGAAAGGCAGCAAATAAAGGTACCTACATGCACCAAAAGGACAAGAATGCCCTCCTGTGCCCTCTGCTCTTCACTTTTTGGACTTGTTTTTGAGGGGAGTAAGGGGAAAAAATCCCTTTGCACGATTCAGAGCTGTGAAATGTGCACAATTCCAGCAGAGGTGAGGAAAAGTGTTGGTTTCCATCTCCCTTTCTCTGCTTACTGGAGCATTCTGGGTTGTTGTTGATTTTCTTTGGTATTCCCCCCCTAAAAATACCAAACAGAACCCAGCATGTAGTCTGGAGTATGAGTCTGCTGCTGATTCGACCTAAAAATTCAGGAACTTACTGGGAATGATTTTGTTCTGGGGATAGATGTGGCCAGTGCAAAGCACATGGGTGATAACAGTGAGCAGGGACTGGTCAGGTGGCAAGGCCAAGGCTACAGACCTCTATTATAAAGGCCAGGGGTTGTGGATGGTGAGAATCAGGTGCAGAGAAAGCAAATGACTTGTCCAGAGTTGCACAAGTGTGTGGCAAAGGAGAGCTCAAGTCAAAATCGAGGTACCTGGTCTAGCAAACAAGTATCTCTTTTATTTCTTTCTCTTTCTTCTCTAGAAAGACTGTTTTTAGCTCTGTCAACTCACCGAGAACTTAAAAAGGTTATAGTTATTTTTGTGTGTGCAGTTCCTGTGAGATCACTGCAGAGTTGTGCACTTTCATTTCTCAGGTGCACAACAGGTTACTTGGCTTTTGTTTACATTTACTTTCCCTTGTCTTCAAGGCATTGCTCTTCAGCACTTCTGCAAAAGCACAACACTGCAGCTTTCTTCCTAAGTTCTGACTGCAGGAACATTTCAGTTCAGTTCTGAGGGCCGGAAATGACCGTAGTGATTGAAGTTCCTCAAAGCCCCACACAAAACTGGCGTGTGGGTTGGTGCTCTGGGGGATCACTTCATCATCCCTGCTGGGTGAGGGCAACATGGAGCCCCCCTGTGCACATGAGGACACAGGCTTGCAGCTCCAGGCACTGCTGGAGGGACAGAACTATGGAGCTGCTGCAGGAGATGGGACACGATGTCCAGCTGTGCCTGTGCCAAGGAACAGCCCGGCAGTGAGGAATTGCCTGGTGGTCGCCGTGCTGTGCTTTGGGAATTTTATAAATTTCATGGATTGGTTCCTTGTGCCAGGTGAGAGCCTATTTTCTTCCTCTAAGGAAAAAGAAATGTAAGTTCTCAACAGCTCTACTTACTCCACAAATGTTTCTAAAGTAATAATATACTTTATGTCTTTTAATTTTTCTTCACTTATCTGCCTTAGCCTGTCGATCATACTCTTAATAAAACTTCCAGTTATAAATCTGGAAGCACCTAGGAATAATGTATTGGTTAGTAATGATTTGTAGAATACTTATAAAGATCATATAATATTTTACAATCTAAGTCTCTTATAAACAGACTTCAGCAAAGTCTATTTTTGTGTCTGGACTCTACAGAAGATTGACTAAGGAACTTCCCTTTACTGTGTAGAGCAGTTTACCAGGCCTTCTTTGGATCCGGTGGATTCCATATGGCATTCCTTTATCTGGAGAATACTGATGCCATTCCCTCCATTAAAAGTTCAAAAACTATATTATCTTTGTACCAATAAAAGATAACTCTGTTATGTTAACTTTTGGCTTTCTTAACTTCCTCGTGAGCTGCTGGCAATCGTGTGCTTCCTGCAATGAGGAGTTACATGATTGTGTAAAGAGAACAGAGACCCACTTCCCTAAGCATCCCCTACCAAATGTGCAGCTTGTCTAAAAAATAATCTCCTTCCTCCAAAATGTGATTTTTTAACTTTTTTTTTCCTAGTGGAAAAACAAAGAATTGCTTCTAGTAAACTGGTGGGGAATCTATGGGTTTTTTTCTCACAATGTAAACTGTGGTCTGTGTAAATTCTTCTGTTTAGCATCACTCCTAAGGATCTATCATGCTGCCAGGGATCTGACTTAGAAATCAGTAGGAAACACTTGCTGTGAGCTTGTTATATGTTACTTCTGAGTAGTCTGGAAATGAGAAATATTTTAAAACCTTGAAAAAACACAAAAGGTTGATTGTTAAATTTGGAATGAGTACCTAGTGACAGTGCACAAAGTAATTATTTTACTACGTAGACCATTCAGAAATTCAAGACACTCAATCAGTATCTTTCAAAATGGAGAGGGTAGTGGGTTTAGGAGTTTGAACTTTTTTATTTTGAGTACCTCTTAACCACACCAGTAAGAGGGAAGGAAGCGAGTAGGAGTGGATGAAAACATCTTCAGGCAAGAGCCGGGATGTGTGGAGGGGATGCACTTGGAAGGGTTAAGTGCAAGCAGCCATTTGGCTCATTCCAGGCTTTGAACTAGTCTTTTTATGTGCCAGGAGCCTAAAATTTCCCCAGCATGCTCTTGTGAGTGAGGTACCTTCAAGAGCAGAGGCCAGGCCTTTGAAACATGTCCTTTAATCACATGAGATGACTAAACCACTTTTTAGTTAGTTCTGTGACCTCCTGGGCCATGGGGGCCATCTGTAAACTGCAGTTTATACCCCAGCACCAGACTGTTCATCTGCTAGAATTCAATGTCACTGCAGAATTCTTCCAGCAGTACTTTTGAGTTTGGCTGTCCATGCAGGAGCATGTTGCTTGACAGGAAAGAGAAGCAGGGCAGGTGTGAGGATCTGATTAGAAAGAAGCTGGTGGCAGTTGTGAAGTTGTGGTTTCCGGGCAGTTTTGCTCACAGGCTTTGACAGAATTTACATCAATCTCCACACAGAAAACAAGCTCTTCCACTAAATTATCTGCTGGAATTGAGTCTTCAGTTTTTAAAACCAGTGATCATGCAGACCTTTCCCCTCTGATCTGTGACCCTGTTCCAAGCTGTTCGAATCAATGCTTTGTGATTTGCCAATAACTGCTCAGGTCACTTATTTCAGTTCTGTGGAAGGAATAGCAATTCAGTGGTGCTCAGTGTGAAAGTCAGTTTGAGATGAAGCTGTGGTTCAGGTCAAGTCTTGTATCAGCTCTGACTTGTTTTAAATACTCTGTGAGTCCAAACCTGAATTCCTGTAATCCAGTATTTCTATGTGCTGATCACTGGCTGCCAGAAAGGAAAGATTGTCCTGTTTTAATGATGCAAAACAATTGAATGAAATCACTGACTTACTTTTGAGACCATTAGAAAAACCCTAAATGCAAAATATGTTCAAGAGTCATTGAGAAAAACCTCCAGAGCTGCCATTAGGCTGGACCTTGTTCTATGTGACTTCTCTATGTGACTTCAAGTCACATCAGTAAACAGTGAGTGGACTGATGCTGCAGCCATGGGGACAGGGGGGAGCATGGATTTAGCTTTACAATAACTGGCCCCACAATGCTTTTAAGAACTGCAGCAGTGTAGTTTTATGGCACAACATGGAAAACACGCTGTGGGAGCAAAGGTACCTCTTGCTGACCTCATCCAGCTCCGCTGTGCTGCAGATCAGCTGCTGTGAGCACAGCAGGTGGGTTACCCAGAACTTGTTCTCTTGCGTGGTCACGGCTTCTTCCTCTCAACCATGTTATGATTTTATCTATTTTGACAAAACTAAAGCAGTGTGAGAAGAGATGCCTTTTTAAAATGATATCTTTCAATACTGGAGCACGGGTGTGCTTATTCCAAGCAGTATCTTCTGCTATTTTTAATTGTTTTTCAGCAGAAATGCAAGGTAGGTGAAATGCAGATCTGCAGCCTTGGCAGGACGTAGAGCTGAAAATGACCTTTTTGTCTCAACACCCACGAGGTGTCAAACTTACCACTGTTTTGTGTCCAACTTTGAACACTAAACTTTTTAGGTACTAATGCTGCAAAACAAACAGAACAGTTGTGGTTGAAACAGTGACTCTCATAAGACCTATATAGTGGAAGATCATTAATTTTATCTATAGTGATAAGAATTTTTAATTCTCTGTGCATCTGTGCTTGTGGGAGAATAAGGGTTTACAATCTAAACTAGAAGCTAAAGGTGCTGCAGTTCTTGCAAGCCCTGTTTTTGGGTTGGCAATTACAAGGAATGAGCAGAGTACTCTGCTGCCATTCAGTGTCTGCCTCTGTTGCAGGGATCGTGTTGGATATACAGAAATACTTTGGACTCAGCGATGGGAAGACAGGTCTGCTGCAAACAGGTAATGAAACCTCTTCAGTTCAGGGAGTTCTGTCTGTCTTGCCTCTCTATGGTCTGCTCCTAAAACACAGCCAAGTTACTTAGTTCTCTAGTTCCTCCTCATGTGTGGTGTTACTCACTTCCACTTGTGGGCAGGCTGGCTATGATGCAAAACTCAAAGTCAGGCCAGAATAGAGTCCTTCAAAAATCCCACAGCATGTGAATCACAAAGATGAAGGATTTCTCAAGAAATACAGAACCTGAGTAATTCACACACATTTTATTTTTGTAAGGGTATTTTGAACCTGTATTTATCTTTTTTTCAAATATCAATCTCCCTCCTAGTTCTACAAACTCAGCCTGCCTTTAACCTCTGCCCTAAAAATAACCTGAGTTTATCTGAGGGATGAGCAGCACATATGAAAAAAATAATCTGAGCAATATTGTCTTTGCTGGTTCTTGGATTTCCAGTGTTCACCTTGTGTTACATGCTGGCTGCCCCCATCTTTGGATACCTTGGAGACCGCTACAACAGGAAAATCATCCTTGGAGCTGGAATTCTCTTCTGGTCTGGTGTCACCTTGGGCAGTTCCTTCATCACTGAGTCGGTATGTTGCTTTTTTAGAGGGTACTGTGAAAATAATCTGCTTACACCTTGCAGGAGCTGATAGAGTCTCTCTCTAACCACATTTGGAAAAGCATCAGTGAGCACTCACACCCCAAGCCTGGACTAAATGTGCTCCATGCAGGAATGCTTTATGGGAAGCTGGAGACCAGCCTAGGCAGTGGAGAATCCACACATTACTGTGGCAATTGATGGGATCTCATTTTTGTCCTGAACGTTTGTTGTTTGTGACCTTACAGTGTGGCAGCTTGTTGGGCAAGCATGTGCTCTATCCACCCTATCCCGAAATTCCCTCTGGGTGTCACTGTGGGAAGTCAGTGCTGTGCAGAGAGAGAAAGCCCAGCAGTGAGATGGGAGGGGAGCAGGTGTGAGTGGAGGGAATACAGACATAGGTAAAAGCAGTCCAACTCTGATTTCCTCTGGTAAATTTGATCCACTAAAAGGCACCTCTTTAACAGTAAGCTTTCCTTCTGGCATGGACTCTTTTGCACTATAACATGTCTTTCCCCTGCAGTATTACAGGATATTTGTTCTCTCACGAGGACTGGTTGGCATTGGCACGGCCAGTTATTCCACCATAGCACCCACCATCATTGCAGACCTGTTTGAGGAAGGAAAAAGGACCACAGTGTTATCTATCTTCTATATCTTCATTCCAGTGGGAAGGTTGGTTTTCTTGCTAGTAATTGACTGGCCTTTTGAAATTCTGTCTGACCATGCCTGCAATTCAATACACCCCAAGCCTCAATTGGATATATTTTGATGTATATCTGCCTTGGCTCTTGCAAAGGGATTTGTCACTTCCTTAGCAAGTTTGAATGGAGCTGATTAGGTTCATTTCTGTACTTACCTTGAAGAAAAATTTGCTTTTTTCCCCCAACACTTTTAGGGAGAATCTAAACTCTTGCTTTGAATAAAATATTGAATCAATTCTAAAAGAAATGTGTGCATGGGGGTATGTAATGTAATTCTGGGTTTTGGAACACAAAAGCTTTTAGATGTTTGTTTATTTGACAAATTTTTCAAGAACCCTCCATTAAATGTCTCCCAATGAAGAACTGGTACTTCCCTCTCCTCTTTTAGTTAAATTCCCACTGTGTCAAGAAGAGGAGAAGGGCCTTTTAAGTAGTTTAGAAACATATTCTGTACTAGAGCAGGCAGCCAAGGCTGGGCCCAGAAGGCAGATTAAAACTAAAGAAATTCCTGCAGGACATAATTCCTGTGGCTAGCACAGAAAGGACTGAATAATAAACTGCTTTATGGGCTGTTTGATCTGGGTTTGCAGTGTCATTCTACAGAATACGGACTCCGAGGGGGAATCTGGGACATTATTGCCACTGTCTCAAGTCTGGCAAGTAGACTAGCACAGACCATGAGGGTTGTTTCTGTTTATCCCTTTTGAAAACTATGACAGAACACTTCTCTGTGCTCTCATTAAGACACGTCATTTCAGCCCTCCAGAGTTCATTGGTGCTTTCTGATTCTTCCTTTCTGTTGCTGACAGTGGCTGTGGTTACATGCTGGCAGCTGGCATGGCACAGAGCACGGGGGACTGGCACTGGGCATTCAGGGTGAGTCACTCCCTTTCATTCACTGACACAGCAGAATCCTCACTGGGGTTTGGATTCCTTACGTCCATTGTGTTAAAAGAGGGGAGCAGTGCAAGGGCTTCCTACTGCCTGACTGGTCATGAATGTGGTGTTTAAGAGAGCTCTTCCTGCAGGACAAGTGGCAGATTCCTGCCTGGTTCTGGTAGGTGGAGGTGAAACTGTACAGCAGCCAGGGCAGGTGTTGATGTTCCTCTTACCTGAGGACACATTTGGAATGGTTGTCACTGCACTGAGACCTCCTCAAACAGAGGAATCTGAAGGTAAAAATATCATTAAACTGGTAGCACCAGTTTCCTGCAGTGCTGTTGGGAACAACTTCTATTATTTGAAGGTTTCAAGAAAATAACTCTTCTGTTCTGATCATGTCATCATGATGTCTCTCCATCCTGAGCACCCAGTGCTTTGGAAGCACTTTGTCAGATCCTCCTACCTTGTGTACAAAGTTAACTGGCACATGCAGGTGAACAGGGCAGAATTTTTACTGGAGTAACACTGGGATGTTGTTCAGGTAACACTGGTGACTGCATCAGGGATCACTGTGTTTGTGGCCAGAGCACCACAAACATGTTTTTCTTCAAAATCAGATGAAGCAACCATGCACCTGTAGGATGGGGAGGGAGGATATATCATCATTCCTCCAAAGTCACCACAAATCACCAATGTCGCTCCTCTTATTTACAAATGTGACCTAAACCACATCTATATGAAAACAGGCATCCTTGACCCAACCAACCTTGTGTCTCCAGGTAACTCCTTGCATGGGAGGTGTAGCACTGGTCCTCCTGATTCTCCTGGTCCCTCACAGGATCCAGAGAAGGACAGCGAGACACAGAGCACTGAGCATCTCCGGCACAAGACGAGGAGCACATGAGACACCAGGTGTACCCAGAACTACCAAGACTACTTGGTGTCAAGATGTTGGATCCCTTGCCAAGAAGTAAGTGAGTGGTTTGAGCAACAAAGGTTCCCTACACGGAGTGACCATTCCATTTCAAGAAATATGTCCATGAAATCCTGCCCCGCTCCTTAGTGCCTCATGCTGTTTGCAAGCTGATGGAAACACCCTTAATAAAAATCTTTCTTCCACTCTTTTACAGGAATGCTACAAAAGAAATCAGAGATTTCTTTGCATCTTCTATCCTCCCATTTGGAGGAGGGGGAAGGAGGCAAAGTCAGGGCACTGTGCTGCTATTGAAATCCAGCTCTACTTTCTACTAAGTTTCCCCTTCCCTCTTGCTTTAGCCCTCAGGGTGAGCTGGTTCGCTTAAAGTGCGTTATTTGCAGGTGTAAATTTATCTGTAACTCCCAGTGCCCGAGGAAGGTGGGATCAGCATGTCTCAGGCAGTCTCTGTGTGGTCTTTGAGAGGCTGCTGTGCCTCTGATACACGAGGTGAAAATGTTGCGCCCCGTTACGGTTTATAAAGCGATTGCCCACGTGTTTTGAGCAGCTGAGCGTGGCTGGCAGACGACCTCTGCCTTTAACCGCACAAAAATTAAAGAGAGCACCAGCTGAGCTGCAGCACGAAGTAAATGCGGAGTGCAGCAAGCTTTTTACCCTGCGGTGAGCCGGTCAGAGCGGGGCAGGAAGAGGAGCCGGAGCCGGGCAGGGAACAGCAGGGGCCGCTGTGCAGCTGCGCCAGCCCCGGCTCCGCGCTGCGAGCCCGCGGGATGCTCCCGATCCCGGCACACCTGCTTTCCTGGGACCTTCTCTGTCTTTGGAGTGTTCGTCCGGAGAAGAGCAACAAGGCTGGCGAAGGGACTCGAACACAAGTCTTATGAGGAGAGGCTGAGGGAGCTGGGGTTGTTGAGCCTGGAGAAGAGGAGGCTCAAGGGAGATCTCCTCGCTCTCTATAACTACCTGACAGGAGGTTGTAGCCAGGTGGGAGTTGGTCTCTTCTCCCTGGCAACTATGAATAAGACAAGAGGGCTCGGTCTTAAGCTCTGCCAGGGGAGGTTTAGGTTGGATATTAGGAAGAAATTCTTTACAGAGAGAGTAATCAGGCATTGGAACGGGCTGCCAAGGGAGGGGTGGAGTCACCGTCCCTGCAGGTGTTTAAGGGGATGCTGGATGTGGCATCAGTGCCATGGCCTGGGAACCACGGCAGGGTTGGAGTAAGGGTTGGACTAGATGATCTCAGAGGTCTTTTCCAACCTGGCTGATTCTATGATTCTGTGATTCTTCTTCCAGAGGTTCCAGCGTTCTCTAGCTGACAATTAGATTTCCATCCCGTTTACATCCAGAACAGCAAGTGCCCCAGAGATCCAGTTTGTTGGATCACAATCTGTAGTCAGTATAGTCTGAAGTGAATAAAAAGTGAATTTTCCTGAATCAAAAATGAACCTGACATTTCAACAACTAGGCTATCACCGAAGTTTCTTTCCAAAAAGATGTTGCAGCAATGTTGTAAAAATAGATTTTAATTTTCTTTTCCTTTAGCAATTGATTTCCAAAGCATAAAGTCATGCTGCCAAAAAAACAGGTCCAAGAGTCCTTTATCTTTAGAAGATGGAGAACTGGGCTCAGTTCTTAGCAAATCCTCTAATCTGTAGTCACCTGGTCAATACAGAACTTTTGTTTAGCCTTAAGATTCCATATCTCCCTATTGACCTTAAAGGGGACTTTTTTCTAAACTATTAACTAGAAAGAGACCAGCAAAAATTTAATTTTCTCCCAGAACAGGGCAGGAAGGAGACAAGGTTTGGACAGTTTTTAAAAATGCTTCTCCTTTTGTCTGAAAACTCACTGTGCAGACTGACAGTCTATTTTTACCCACTCAGAGTTAAGGAGGGGTTCAGCCACTGCATCTTCACAGTTTGAAGGACCCAGATGTTACTCTCATTTGTGCTGGTTACAGAAATGACTTAAAACCATCCTGAGGCATTTAGACTTGCACATAGAACACTTTCCTTCAGATACTAAGCCATTAAATTCTTGCCCACTCTCTATTGTTGTACTTCTGCTATCAAAAAATCCACAGCAATTGTTTTAGCAGAAGCTGGCAATGGAATGTGCAAGAGCCCAGGATTTAACAAGAAATCAGTAGGTCATGGCCTTTGCTCTAATTAGGACTTTATTGTTGACTTTCATAATAAAGCCTGATCAGAGTTCAGATATTCAAGGGAATGGATTTTGATTATAAGATGTCTGAACTAATTGCTTTGTTATTGCTTGAAATCGCGGATATTGCAGGTAGGCTTTCCCTTTTCCCTCACACCCCATTCTTTCTGATATCTCTCCTTTGTTTTCTTTTGACTTTCAGCTGTAGTTTTGTCTGGTCCTCACTGGGTCTGACAGCCATGGCCTTTGTCACTGGAGCCCTGGGAATGTGGGTACCACTGTTCCTGTACAGGGCTCAGCTTGTCCAGGGCATTGTCCCCCCCTGCCTCCAGGAATCGTGCAATTCATCCAACAGGTGAGCTGGGACTGTGGAACCACCTTGGAAACACTGCACAGCACTAAATCACAGCTTGTTTCCAAAGGGGGAAGGCAGGATGTGACTGAACACTTCTGGTGAAGGCAACAGGGTGTGAATGTTAGACTAAATTGCTTCCAGGTATGCTGAGACACTCCTATTTGTTTGTTTGTTTATAATCACTCAGTTAACTGGGAAGATGCTGCCAGCCCTGTGTAAGTAAATTGGGAAGAAGCAGTAACAGGAACACTCGTGAGGAAAAAAAAGGAGCAGCTTTAGCAAGGAGATTTCAGTTGACAAACGACTGTGCACCCCAAGCTACTTAAATACACATTTAAGTATGTTTAAATCCTGTGTTTTGGTGACTTTCCCATTATCTGCTTATTAGTCTGGTTTTAAAATCCCTGCTGTGTTGGCCAGGTGATTGTGGCTCTCAACATGAAGAAAGCTTGATGATTTTGATCTAGTACCATATCATTGCATCAAACCAGGATGATTTGGTCTTGTGAGTACCTGCCAGCAGAGCTCTGCTTACAGGGCACATCCAGACCCATGAAGATCCATCAATAAATATCAAATGGTGGGTGGGAAGAGGAATTTACAAGAGTAGAAGACTTTGAAGCAATCAGAACTTTTTGTGGATGACTTTTCACCAGCTAGGAAGAGAAATTTTCCCTTGTGTGTTACCAGAATACAAATGTATTATATGTTACCAGAATACAAATGTATTATGTGTTATCCAGAATACAATGTGTTATCCAGAATACAAAAATGCATTCAGTGCTCCTCTTGAGTCTTCATGGCTGCCCTCAGTCACAGTGAGCACTGAGACTGACTCCCTACCAGTGGCCTCCATACAAGTGTCCCTTTCTTCTGGAGGTATCCCAAATCCAGTTTCAGTATCTGCCTTCATGATGGATTTCAAAGAACTAAGTGCTTCCTACACTGGCTTTCCAGGTAAAGACAATTAAAGGGAAAAGCAGTAATCACAGCTTGAGTGTGCTCTGCTAACAGGGTTCTTCTGCTTGTCTGCAGTGGAACAACTGAGCCAGCTCAAAAGTGATTTCTGAGCCGTAGTGTAACCAGATGGATTGAATAGTCACCCCCAAATCCTTCGATGGGAAATGAATTGTCCTTCCATGGATGCTACCAGTGGCTCATAATGTACTAGTGAACAATACTGAGAAGGGAGTGAACCCAGGAGTGTGGCTTAGTGTAGGCAGAGGAGACTGAACAGTTTAAGCTGTTTGGCTGTTTCTGTTCACAGATACAGTTTAAATACTTCTTTTGTTAAGCTGAAGGTGTTGCCCTCTGGTTTGCTTTCTAATCCACTTCTGAATTATTATTCCACAGTAGTGTTGCTACAGCAGACATGGTCTTCGGGGAAGGGAAATGGAGCTCCTGATAGTTTAACCTCATGTCCTGCTTCTTACAGGATACTTTAAAAATAACCTTGGCATAAACTCGTGCCAGAAGCAGCATAAGGCTGGTTTTAGACTGTTATTCCAGGGGGATGTGAAGAAACGGAATATAAACAACAGTGTCAGACCTGTAGCTGATGGTGCTGGAGGAACTGAGCTGCACATCCCAGGACCTGCCCAGGGATACTTTGAGGATCCCCTCTGGCTGTTCAGCAGTTGCAGGCTTTGTTTAAGGATCAGGGCTGTGTCACAGACTCCCTGGAAACACAAACTCAAACGGCATCACAGCTGACTCAGGTCTCAGTGCTTTCAAGGTAGATAAATAGGGTTTTTTTCAGGTCTTTGTGCAGACACTTTGGAACAGATCAGACAGATAAGGGAGCATTTTCAGACCCTAAAAGATCCCATAGGAGCCTTTCCCCAGGACTCAGCTTCTGTACTTTCCTACTCCCAGTCAATTGAACAGTGCCTGGATTTAGTTTTGGCTGCTCTCTTTTATTCCAGCTCCAGGTTTATTTCAACTGCAGTTTACAACACATGAATATTCTAAACACAATTCCATGAATGCTTCAATCAGCTAATGTCACCTTGGAACTTTTTCTCTCCTGAACAAATCTCTAAGATAGTTACTCTGCCTAGTGACAATCTCTACTGTCACTATCAAGCTGTAGTGAGTGATGAATCAGAATTCTGAAGAACTTGCAGAGAGACTACAAATATGCTAAAAGTTTGTTATCTTGCATAGAAATACTTTTTTTTTTCTTGTAGAATAATTCAGTCCTTCCTAATCAGCCAGAAAGAAAATAAAAAGTGGATGCACTGTAGTTTAAAGGAACAGATCCTATCCCAGCTGGTTACTTTGCTTTGCAGTTAGAGAAAGCTCAGGAAAATGTACAGAACTTCCCATGTAACACTGAAATATTCAGGAGCACTTGTGCTCAGAATACATTGGTCCTGTCCCTGTTTGCCTTTGGAAAACTGTGATGCATTAAACAATCAGCACCACTGGTCTTTGGTTGCTTTGTCATTGGGGTCTCATTTGGGACAGAGAGAAAAGCACACACAGAAGCCCCTCTGGAAGCTGAATCTTCTAAGCTGTTCAGACACGTTCCTTTAAAGCATGAAGTTGTGATTCCTGAAGAACACATTTGCATTTGCAGACACACAAAGCTGAGTGGTGCTGGACATTCTGCATTCAGAAAACGCTCCGTGGACCTGGCAGAGTTAACTATTCAGTATTCTTTGAACTCCTCTGGGAAGTGGTAGGTGTTTCCCAGAGTCAGAGAAGTGACTCATCTCAGCTGTGCTAACCAGAGGGTTATAATTTAGATGTAGATCATTCCACGTGCTAGGATCCCTTCCAAGACAGCAGATTGTGATACAGAGTTACTCCATCTGTGTTTCAGGGATGACTGAGTAGATTGGTTCACAGGGTAACCAAGATGACTGGGTCTCCTCTACATCACTGCATGTCCAAGCCAGGTCCTACTGGGCAGGGTCCTCCTTGAGCCTGGGTGCATAACACCTGCTCTGGAAATGGGAAAATATCTGCTTCCCAGGATACTCATCTTCCACGGAGGCTTGGCAGTACATCCATTTACAGGGAGTGGGAGGGTTACATCAAATGGAATGAAATTCAAGTTCCCCATTAAAGATTCCTCTGAAACCACAGACATAAGCTAACACCATTCCTTTTTCTACAGTACCATGCTCAGCTGAATCCTTTGCTTTGTCACCAGCCTAATCTTTGGAGGCATCACCGTTGGGACAGGAATCGTGGGTGTCATCGCTGGGGCAGAAGCTGCAAGAAGATTAAGGAAGATGTACAATAAAGCTGATCCTCTGATCTGTGCCACCAGCATGTTCATCTCTGCCCTGTGCCTCTACACAGCTCTCATGGTGGCCCAGACCAGCATCCTTTCCACCTTTGTAAGTGACAATCAGCAACATGTCCTTTGGCGTCCTGGGGAGAACCGGAAGGGGGAGGAGGAGGAGAAGGCAAGGGGTGGCTTTTGCAGAATTCTCTGCAGTCTTTTAGACCATTAGGAGGTTTCAATGACTTATAAAGTGACCAGGTAAGAACTGGGAATGGTGCTCCAATGCTGCCTGTGGCCTGTCTGGTGGGATCCACGTTGGGCATTCCTTGTTCCAGAGACCCCTGGTGGCCTAGTGGTTAGCATGCAGGACTTTCACTGCTGCGACCACGGGTTCAAATCCCGGTCTCCTGGCCTGATGGAGGTCGTTAGCCCTGTGTGGCCATCCATCTATGAGAAGGACACTCTAAACAAACCTACGTCCTGAGGACCTCACTGCCATTGTCCAAGCTTGCTTGGCCCCGGCAGATGAACCTTAGGATTAAAGGGTGGGCTCAGTTCAGCGCAGGCTGTGTCTCACCTAAAAAATCCATTGCGCAGGCTGGAAAGGTAAAAGACCTTTCCCCAAATCTTCGTTCGCGAAGATGGGCCATTATTCCTTGTTCCAGGAAAAGGGCAGGCGGACCACTGCAAACTGGGCCTCAGGACCTGCAGAGTGCACTGAAGAAGAGAACAGTAAGCCTGTGTAATTAGCTGCATGAAGCTTGTCCCTCCTCCAAAAATGTAGTTAAAGCAAGTCTCAATCTTATGTTAATTATTAATGCTATGCAGCTAATTTAGTATTCTTATTTATTTTTGCTTTCTGAATCCTTAAAGATTGGTGTAGTTGGGGCTGTACAATACACACAGTTCTTGCTAAGAATAATTGAGCCATCATCTTCAAAGTCCCAGATCACCAGCTGATCTTCAAAGTCAAGCTTTTGGCAAAGCAAACTGAAGTATAAATCACTTAAATCCTGTTCTTAGCAAAGGGAAAAACAGAAACCTACCAGGAATGATGAATAGTTCCAAAAACTCCCTGTGAGAGGGAACTGAATGTAAACCTTATTTCAACTATAATCTGGTAACAGCTAGGGAAAGACTCCAAGGTTTTTTCCTGTGACTCCACAGCCAAAATCACCATGATTAGCATAAATAAGAGGATCCAAGTAAAGTTAATTACAGTAATCAACAGTTCTCTGCAAAAGGGTGCTTTTGCAGGTTTTTTGCTTCTAAGAATAACACTTGTTCAAAGAGGTTTTCCTTTTGACTCCTCAGGAATGTGTATTCCTGTGGAAAAACACCTTTAAACCAAGAGAAAAACAAGTGGATTTGCATGTCTGAGTGTGTGTACACAAAGCAAAATGTGAAATTGAAGATTATTTTGGATTCAGAAGTCGAGATCTGAGTGCCAAAGAATTAGCCATTTTCTTTTTCTGTCTCTCAGGTTCCCACATAGCCCCTCTCTGAGTTTGTTCTTCAGTTCTCTCTTTTGTCATTAAAGCTGGAGGACAACAGTTTCATTTGCCAGTCTGTGTTAGATAAGTGAACCAACATATTGAGTTTGAATTACCAAAATATACCTTTTATTAGAAATGTAGAATCCCAGAATGCTTTGGGTTGGGAGGGACCTTAAAGATCATCTCACTCTACCCACCTTCCACTAGCCCAGGTTGCTCCAAGCCCTGTCCAACCTGGCCTTGGACACTTCCAGGAATGTGGCAGCCACAGCTTCTCTGGGCAACTTGTGCCAGGGCCTCACCACCCTCACAGGGAAGAATTTCTTCCCAATATCCCATCTAAACCTCTCTATGTCAGTGTGAAGCCATTCCCCCTTGTCCTGTCACTACAGTTCCTGATGAAGGAGCTCCGTGGCCAAAGCTGGAAGAAATGTTTCAAAGCACAAGAATTCTCTAGTTAATGTGGAACTATGACAAGGCTGACTTCCAGGGTTTCTGTTGGGGTAGATGGGCTGAAATACTGTGAGATTGCTCTCCTCCCTCTGGATCCCCAGCTCTTGACTTCAAAGAGGTTCTGTCTCCATCTGCTCAGTCTCCAAAAGCAGCTGAAAGCCCTGTGCTCACTGCAGTGCAGGTGCTTGGGAAAGTCATGGCTGAACCCCAGGAGGTGAGGAGGTGACCCTACATCTGCAGTCCACACAAGACCTGAGGAAAGAAAAGAAAATCTAACAAAGTTCTGTCTCTAACGTTAAGACAATTCTGCTTGAAATTATTACTCTGTGGAGTATGAGGCCTTAGCCACTGAATATCACATTTTTTTATCAAGGAAAATTTTTCATTTATTTCCATTCCTTTGATCTCCAGGTTGACAGCATAACTTATTTCCTAAAGATGAATTCTGCTTTTCTTGCACTGAGCATGACATGCTCCTGTTCTTTGGGCTTGTACAGACTAAATAACTTGGAAAAAGCATGAAGAGAAAGGAAAACTGGAAATTACACTTTAGAAGTGCTAAACATCACAAGATTCCTATAAGGGAGATAGATCAATCTCTCATTTGATGTATGAAGGCAGGGAGTCATCTATTCCATTGGTGATATCTAGGAACAGTTTGGAAGCCTTTAGAACCTTCTGCTCTAACTGTTGGATTTGCATCTTGTTAGATTTAAAGTATCAGCCAGGATCTAAATAAATCTCTTTGCTCTTTATCTCCTTCCTATTTCCCTTTAACCTGCACTATCTCTTGCTACCCATGGCACCACTGACAGAAGTTAGGTTAGTTTATACCATAATTGCCTGATGAATTTGGATCTTCCAAGAGATCTACTGCAGAGAGTATTACCTTGAAATAAAGGGATGAAGGGCTAATATTTTCTAGGGAGTGCAAGATTTCACAGCCAGTCCTTATTGCCAAGTGTCTTGGTAAAAAGCTGAGCTGTGTGATTTTGCTTCCCATGTTAACAACTACATTTTGTGTTTGCCCAGAGTTCTCTAATGTAGGTGTTTCACTTGCTTTCCAGCTAAGGAGCTGTGATATTGCAACAGTCCTGAACTGGAGAACAACAGTTGCACTCTGTCTCTTGTGAGGGCAAAGCCTGTCAAGGTTGTGTCAGTGGGCAGACTTGGACAGTAGGATGCATAAATCCAAGACTAACACATTCTCAAGGAGTATGTGAAATGAGTGATATTTGTTATATAACTTAAGGAAAAGCAACTGTGTGTGAGGAAATGGATTCAGCTGCAAATTAGGAAACCTGTATAAAGCATTGTGAAGAGAAAGATATCTGGCTAATGGTCTATATTAAGTATCTCAGTGCTTCAAGGAACTTTTTCTCCAAACTGGTTTGGAGAAGAAGACACATGAGCAGAACAGACCAGAACCACAGAGGAGGCAGGAAGATGTGTATCAGCTCTGGTTCTCCTTAGGAGCACATCAGCCACCTCTCCAAAAACATCTGGGCATTTGCCATTGTGCCTTTCCTAGACCAGCTACAACACCTTGACCAAGGCCTTACTGAGCAGGATGCCTGTTGTAACTATGGATTTTATTTCCCAGGTGCCATCTGACTTTGTGGCCTGTGTCCTAAATAGACTCTGTCTTTAGCGCTGCTCCACCTTGACAGTGTAGCTTTACTGCTCTCCTAAAGCCTCACTTAGTCTGGGCAGGCTGCTCCAATCTGTGTCCAGGGCTGGCTGAGAGGGTTAATATTCTCTGAGACCACAGCTGTAAGAACTGTTGGGGGCCCTACCCCTTTTCCTGATGGCTGGGTCTCCATCTGTGATGGATTAGGGAATTCCTACAGGGCACCAAGGCTTTGAGGCTGCCTGTTCCTTGGAGTCCATTCCATTTTGGAAGTTCTCTCTCTGAAAGAGCCTTTAAGAGTACTTGTATTAGCACAGAGGTGCTTCATTTGCAAAGGGACATCTTTGATAATTTTTCAAACCTGTGCTGAAAGTTTCTCTTCCCAGGGTCTTGCTTTCCTCTTCCTGGGTTCAGCAGTTCATTGGGAGGGTGGTGTGTGTTTCCTATTTTGACTCTTCTGCTGAGGATTTGTGACACAAACCCCAAACGCCTTCTCTGGTTCCTTTCCCCACTTTTAGGATGAAATTAGTGTTTGTAAGCACAGACAGAGATGTTCAATTTATAAATAAATGGGTGTGTAGGACAGCTCTCCCACAGGCACAGTCAGTGAGCCTGCCTTCATCCTTACACCAAAGAAGGACCATGCACTGTGGACAGTCACTGCTTTCTTCTCTTCTGCAGATTTTTATTGCATTTGGAGAACTGTTTTTATCTGTGAACTGGGCTGTTGTGACAGACATACTGCTGGTAAGTGCTCAGGCATCTACTTCCTTATTTCAAGTTTTTTCTCAACATAATGTTGTTCCTAAGGCTGCATCTTGGTGGCTTTCTGGGAAGAGATGAATGAACTCCTATCAACATCCCCTTATTGGTACCCTGCTCACATTGGGGATGGAATCACTGCTGGGTGAGGATGCCACTGGCAATAGAGGTGTGGTGGTGCAGCCATCCAAGTTATTGTGAGCCTGGAAAGGAGATGTCCTGGCTTGGATGGAGCTCCTGCACATGGAACTCTCTAGTGCTGCCTGTCCCCAGAGCAGTTTGGGTTTCTGTACAGCTCTGTGTTGGTGGGTGTCTGCCAGAAAATGGTCTGCACCAGAAACAGGTCATTTTGTGTCTATAATCAAGTTTTCTATTTGTGCTCCAAAGGTTTGAAAACATGATCCAAATGAGGGAAAGTCAACAGTCTGTGAACTATGAACAAGTTGCCTTAATCCAGAATACAGTGCAGATGAATTCCAGCAAGTCCAAGTCCTGAGTGGTGCTACGGTGCCAAAGGGCCAGGCCAGCAGTGATGGTCACGAGGATCTTGGGGATCCCAGGGCTGACACCACAAGCCCAAGGAAGGGCAGTGCATGATTTCCTTTGGATTCTGCCATCAGAATTTCTTTAGAAAGCAGTGATGTGAAAAGCACACATCTTGTGGCACTGTTAGTCCAGGTTTCAATGAGCAGCTTGGTTTTTTTATCATTTCAAAGGTTTTTAGTCAGTAATTTTTTAACACATTTGAGTTTTTACTCAAAGGAAAAATTTGGCAATCTTTCATTTATGCTGTAGCTCCACAGTGAATGATCAATGTCTGTGTAAAACCTGGGACAGATGTTGTTATTAACACTGAATTAGACAGATTATCACAGTCTTATCAAGTAGTTTATATGACTTTTTAATTAAATGCATAGTATGAACAAGTTGAATACGGTCAATTAGTCAAATAGGCAAGGAAATGATCTACCTTGTTCACTTCTAGTAATGAGACTGCAGAAAACTGATTTAAGTACCAGAGCCAGACTTAATTAAATGATTGACAGTTCTTCTGTTGCTCCCCATGGGCACAAGACAGAACATTTCAATTGACACTATCCTTTTCTGCAAAGGGTGGAGTGCTGGGTCACACAAAAGACCCAACCTCGCCACTTTGGGATCCCTGTGCTGGTGGGTGTGACTGTAACCCAAATATTCCAAGCAGGAAGCTCCCTGAGAGACAGGGATTGAAGTGTGATTGAAGTGTGGTACAGGCAAAAGGCTGCTGCAGTTGGTACTGAAAGTGGGGAAATGGTGTGAAGCCACCAGGACAAGTGAGAAAAGGCACCAAGCCAAGGGCACAGCAGAACAGACATCTCTGACTGTTTCTTCCTAAGCAAGAGTCCCGTGTTTCCCATTTGATGTAAAAGTGTTTCATTCTGAGGGAGCTCAAACCTGTTTGCAGGTTGCTGCTGCAAACCCCACTGTCATAATAAATCTTTCATTTAAGAGCCACAGTGAATGCATTAATGTGTGGCACAACACAGCAGCAGTTCCCAAGAGCTGAGGACAGCAAAGGAACCTTGCAGGCTGTGCCTCCCCTGGAGCACAGGTGCCTACGAGCCTGTGAGGAACCCAAAGTTTCCCCCTGGGGGTGATGGCACCGTGGTCTGAGTTGCTCAGATACAACTTGCTTAGTATCTCTTCCACCTAACTAAACCCAAGGAGAAGACAAGCTGAGCAGAGATAAAAGTATCTCTATTAGTGTTCTACGTGAAAGGATGTGACAGCATTGCCAAATGCTGAGCCCTGTGCAGTGACCAAAGGGCCCAGCTGTGAAGCACCACAGAACTCTCCTTCCACTGCTGTGACCTTGCCTTGACATGAGCCTGTTTATCCACATATTTTATAGCTGAAGAGCCTTTCTTTACATTCTGATTGAGATGAAGGAAAGGAACTCCTTACATTTCATGGGTCTTCAGCAAAGCCCTGCCAACACTGACTGTGCATTATGTTCTCTTTCCTGGTGCTGCTCCCTCCGTGTCAGTTTTCTGCACTCTGGAATTTTCATTAAAGAATAAATAATGCAGTCAGCATTAGGGAAATGGCTGCCTGCTTAAAATCTCAGCCAGCAGCAAAAGGGTTTTGCTTCTTCTTTGACTCTCACGGAATGGTCAGAAACAATTATCCTACGAGAAAAGAGCTGGAGCCTTGCAGCAGTGAACAGGTGCAGAAAAACTATCACTGCTCAAAACTGACAACTTTTATTAGCTTCTGTTTCAGTTTATTTTGAAATCACTGGGGTTTTGTACCAGAACCAAGTATTATTACAATTACCATTCTTTTTACATCAGTTGAGGCACCACTGAGGGATTTTTTTAAGTTTCTCAATTTACTTTTCTCTGAACTCCTCCATCTGCATTTTAATTCTGTCCTCTGTCACTGTTAAAGAGGCAGGTGACACTGAGTGAGGTCCTGGTGATGTATGATGAGGAAAGTGAGGCAGATGGTTACTGTCAGCTCATTCCTTCAATCCCTTCCTGAACCCAAACTGCAAATCCTGGAAGGAGCTGGGCTTTGGTTCAGTTCCATCATTCCAGTCTCAGTTTGCTCAGGGAACGCTGCATCACATCCCAGCCTGCAGGAAGTCTGTGGGGAGTGCCACTGCATATCCTGGATCCATCTAAATCCAGAAGAGAAGGAGATTTTTTTCTCCCAGGTGACCAACACCCCTCACTGCATTTACTTTAGAATATTTTGGGTTTAGGTACCAGCAATGTTGCATCGATTGCCAACAAGTGGGGAGGTGACGACTTTGGCTGAGCTCTGTGGTGGTGTGTCCCCCTGGGAGCAGACATTCAGTGGATTACCATGAATGTGCTTTGGGTTGGATCTCTTGAATTCTAAATATTAATCATTTTATCAGAGAAATTATGGCATTGAGCTGAATTTGTGGGTATCTGCTCATTTAGTGGCAATTTTATCCAGGAGTTGGGTTTTGTCCTGCTGGAACCCCACAGGTTTGGTGTATTTCTGCTGTTGCAGTGACTGAAGGGTGCCACAGATAACAGCAGTAATTCCTCTTCTTGTCTTATTTCCCACGTGAACTGGTAGGAGTTCTGACAATGTAGCTGGATTTGCTAATGCATGTTCTTATTTTGCCATGAAAATGACTTCTCTTTCTTCCCACATGGCACTACTAGCCAGACAATGTAGCTAGAAATTCATTTATCCTGCGACCTGTGGAGCTGAAGACAAAGGGAGATGCTGGCTGAATGATAAGGACTTTCTTGCTTTGTGGCTGTGCATAAGGATGCAGTGCATGGAGCCACCTCTGTCCTCCTGCTCAGTGTAAACACAGAAATCTCAGCTGTACAACTCCAGTGCTAATGTGCACGTGGAGAGGGGCTGGAGCTGCCCTGCTGCTTTACTGAGAGGCTGTTCCTGGAGTGTCCCTTATGAAACATGTTTGTCCTCTGTGAGGTGACAGAACTCTGTCTTTAAGGGTTGTGGCAGCTAATAGCATAGGAGATGCTGGAACTGGAAGCCTCTGTGGGCCTTGGGAAGGCAACCAACATGTTCCTGCCTTTGGAAGTGCCCTGGGAGGTGCAGGAGTGTTCCCCAGCCTGTGTTCCATCTGCTCTTTCAGCTGACAGCTCTGTGACAGCGTGTGCAGGAGGGTCTCTGGAACCCCCAGACACAGCACCACAGGCTTTGCAAACTGTACCTGTTTGGGCCTTCCCTGTCCAGGCCTCTGGGCTGGGATCTCCTGGGAGATGGGGGAGTGCAGGATGTCACCAGCCACTGCCATGGGGTGGGGCCCTGGGCAGTCCCTGCGTCTGGGCAGGAGACTGTGGCTACTTCGAAGTCCCTCTGGAGGGGTGTCTTTTGTTTCTTCTTTTCTCAGTGAATCCCACAGTGCCTTGAGCTCTTGGTTTCCATCGTGCAGAAGAACCTGAGTGACAGCACAGGCAGAGTTTGTATGACCCTCCAAACTATAGGAAACATCCTATCCTTCTATTTTTCTTGTTACAGCTTTATTTCACCTGTCTGTTGTAGTTAGAGATATGAGATATCAAAGAAACGTGGTAAGGAAGTGGTGCAGGGCACTGGGAGAGACAGAGCCCATTTAGCTTCTCTCGTGCTTGCGATGCCCACGATACAGTAAGTGCATAACAATGTCTGATTTGTATTTCTCAAACACAGCCTGTAAAACAAATCTGAGTGTAGGACAGATGACATGATATCCTTGGAGAGCCAAGACCTAAAAGTCTCCAGTGCTATACAGTCTATCAGAGCCAGGTCTGTCTGAGCTTCCCAAGCTCAGAGTTTTCTACTGTAGTTCCTTTATCTCTCTCTGCACAAGAGACTGTTCCCAAAATGCAGGTGCTCATCTGGTACTCCAGGAGTGTTCCAGGAGAAAACAAAGCATGAGGAGACTGCACACCCTCAGTGTGCCATGGCCTCAGTGAGGAGGAGCTGGAGGACTGTTCCTTCATCCCGTGGGTGACAGGGATTTCAGAGCAGCCAATCTCACACAACTCTGCTCTTGCTGGCCCAGGACTGGGTGCAGTGTCGTGGCAACATGGCATCAGAGAGGTTTTCTGTAACTCTGAAGAGATGTCCAACACATCCCTGGTTTAATATTTATTATCGTTGAAACATTCTATCTAAATATTCCCAATGAAAAATAAATGTTCCATCCGTGGTTAGAAATCTCTGCTTTGGAGGGACTGGGAACGGGGAGGGATACAAGGGAGCTGCATGTGCCCAAAGGAAGGAAGGAGGTTGTGCCTTCCAATCCAGCTGCACTGTACAGAGCTCTCTTACTGGGTGCAGAGGGGGTGGTTAGGAGTGATTTGTGTGTCCAAGGTTGAGGCCATTTCTGCCTAAGGGGGGCACTGCCAGTGTTCCTGGTTCTTTACTGAAACTGGCTGCAAGATGGAATAAGCAGGACCAAAACCCTAATTAAATGTGAGAGCAGGATCTTTTCTTAATTTTAAACCCAATTTACCCAGTGTGTTAATGTTTCCTTGAAGGCAGCTATAGGGCCAGTATATACCTTGAGTTTGTCTCCTGGTAAAACACCAATCACCCTGTTAATTAGTGTTTGAGACACAGTGATGTTTAGATCACCTTCAAAACAAAAACAAGTTGTGGGAGAGAGGACTGGAAGAATATTAAGCATTTTTTCTCTGCTATGAGCAAATGGTTGGAAAACAAAGGTATGAAGGTTTGAAATTGCTTCTGCCTCATTCTGACTGTGAATGCATTTTGTGTAAATGCATTATTGAAAGAGACACAAATTATATGGAATCATGCTGTACTTCTTCAGGCACAGTTGATCTTCAGTAGTACAGGCACAAAGCCCTTATTACCCCCAAATTACTATATTTCATTTGACAAAATGATTCTAATCTCTGTGATGCTTTGCTGTGTCCTGGATGTGCACATCTCCAACTTGTTATTTAAACTGTGTGCACTCACAAGCAAAATCATTTGGAGGTGTTGATATCCAGTGATCCCAGGTGATACCCAGTTACAGGCAGTGCCATTACAGCACCACCAGCCACCTTCTGGTCTCACAGGTTGGGTCTCCTCCCTGTGTCTCCCTGTAGTCTGTAAGGTCCCAGCTGACACCCTGTACAGCCACAGCAGCTCCTTCAGGCTCCAGGTCCCCCAGAATCCCCTCAGCAGTCCGGACCAGGCCTGCTGACACAGGTCACAAGAGACTTTTCCCATGGGCTGTCAGTGCTGAATATCCTTCTTACCAAATCATTATGACTGCAAGGAATACTTGCCTGGAGGCTTCTGATAGTTGCATGGCCAAATGAATCCGTGTAGTAAGGGGAGTCCTGGTTTAGTTACTTTGTTGTCGTTCCCTCCTGTGTCTTCCCCCCCTGAATGTTTTTCCCCTCAACAAAACATGCAATATACCCTTTTGCCCAGAAGAACTTCTGTGTCTCCAAACTTGTAATATAAAATAGAAAAGTTAATGCCTCAATGTCTCTGGGATGTCCCAGAAGAAGCTGCCATTGCTGAGGCTCTCTCTGGTGCTGTTTTGTTGCAGTACGTGGTGACCCCGAGGCGCCAGTCCACGGCCATCGCCCTGCAGATCCTGCTGAGCCACCTCCTGGGGGATGCAGGCAGCCCATACCTCATCGGGGCTGTAAGTGAACTCCCTGCTTCTGGAGCCTTCCTTAGGGGAAAACTGCCACAAACTGAAATGCACTCACAGAACTGTAGACACTACCTGGTCCAAAACTACAAATTACTTATATTGCTCATACTGAGTTTAGAACACAGAAATTTTTTACCTGCATGAAACCCCTGGTCCTGTGACACTGCAGGTGGGTAGAATATAATCCTGTATAGAATATAATCCTATCCATGCAGTGTGTAGAAATTTATTTTGATTTGAAATGTGAAAACTCACGTATTTTTGAAGGTACACATTTTTGCAAACACGATGTCATGGTATTGTACTTGGATTTAAGCACTTTCTGCTCTTGTGAGGAGTTTCATGGAAATTAATCAAATGCATTTAAAAGCCAAGACTCAAAATCTCAGAGTTGATGGTGTCTTGGAAATCAGAACAAAAGTGATGCAATTTTGCCTTTAGATACTACTTGGCCTTTAAAGCTCTGGTCTCAAAGCACCTTAACCTTGATTTTCATATTCCTTGAGACCTGATTTCTCTGCCCTGCCTACATTTACCTGATCTGAGGTGCTCCTGGGCAAAGCAGCCAAGTCCTGTTTTCTCTGTGCAGTTCATTAGTTTCAGTTCCAGTGGATTGTACCTGTCAGTGCCATTTCCTTCCCTCATTCTTTGTGATTTAGGACACAGTAACTCTGCACACACCAATCACCCACTTTGATTTTTCTGCTTTACTGGACACGGGAGAGAGAGTGAGTCCTTGTTGTTGCTTTAAAGTTTGCTTTGTATGGGAGTTTATTTAAAGTTCACCTCAGGACTCTCTGTTGGTGCTTTGTCCCCTGTTAACAGTGGCAGGGTTAGACAGGGCCAGCAGTGCCCCAGTGAGCTGTTCCTGCAGGCACAGCTGCTGCTCCAGCCACACACGAGCTTCCCCTTGTCCTCAACTGGGTGAAAACCAGAGTTTCAGCTGTGTAATCTGTCTGGCAGAGAAGACACCCTCTCTCACTGAGGGATTCCTCCTGCTCAGCCTCTTTTTTTTGGCAAATGAAGAGACCACTTTGCTCATTCCTGTGTATTAGGAAGGTCCTGCCCTCCCACTGATCCAGCTGTTTGTGTGTGGGGACAGAACACCCAACACCCCTGTGTCAGGGAAAATGGCTGACATGGGATGCAGCAACAGGAGGAACCCCAAAAGCTGAAATATCTCTTGTGCATCTCCTTTGACCAACTGTTTAAGCTTCCTGCCTGAAAGGTGAAGCTGTTTGTGCCTCTGCCCCCTGTCCTCTGAGGCCTCATGCTGGCGGTGCTGTGTCACCGTGGGCAGGACCTGCAGACAGGCACCTTAACCAACAGCTCACCCAGGAGTGTGAAGACAAAGAAAGCTTATCCAGATGAGATTAACCTCAGGTAACCTTGCAACTTCATACAGAACAGAGACAATAAACCCAGGAATAAAACTGCTCTGTGTCCAGGTGGGATGGTTTGCAAGGAGCACCTCATTTCTTCTGGAATGCTTCTGTGAGCCCAAACACCAACACTGCCCAGGACTGCTGCTGGTTAAACACTGAATCTGCTTTCACATTCTGCTGTTATTTTATAACCTGCTTCAGCCAACCCTTTAGCTTAAAATCTGGCTGAATAATCAGGGAATAGCCTTTTTCAGAGACTGTTTTTCTTCCCTCTGCGCTCCAGAGATTTTTTCACTAAGCGTCTTAACATTAAATACATTAGGTTTGTATTGTGGCCATGATGCTTGCTGTAGTCTCTAGATGCCTATTTAGAGTTTATCTTGCTCTTATCTGCCTAAAGTGTCATAAATAATCATATAAAACCCAGCAAAGGTTGAAGAGTCTCATATTTGTGCATTTCAAATCACACGGTGCATTCTAACCATTAAGAACAAATGTGGGAATAAAAATGACTGCTTTCAACATTTATCTTTTTGTTTATGCTAAGAAGAGATTTCAAGTTCCTTGAGTGTTGAATCTTATTGAGTTTCTTGAAATCAGCTTTTCTTTCTGTCTGCAAAAATAAAATTCATGTGTATCATTTATAACCTTTACAACTTCATCCTCCCACCAGTGCAAAAAGCAGCTGCCTGGTATCTTCTTCACCCAGTTCCTCACTGTGTCACGACTCCTCAAATGCCTTTTGGCTCAAAAGTAGCCCCCACTCTTGTCTGTAATTAATTTCCAGCTCTTCCCTTTCTAATGAGTGTTGCTGCTTGTGCCTGTATTGCTGTTAACCCCCTGTTTCTATCCACTGGATGCCAATCAGGGAGGTATAAAGTTATTGAACAGCACCAAGAAATGCTAAAGGTCATTCCCAAATGCCTGTGCTTTGCTGGCTGTCTGGAGAAGGGCTAGGAAATGGTAAAATGTATTTCCCACTCCTGGGAGTGGGGGCACTGAAGGGATGAAGAACATGAGGTTCCTTGAGCAGTGGAAGCTGGAGAGCAGGGCAGTGCAGGTGTGCTTGGCAAACCCGGGCAGCAGACTCTCATCCCTGTGTGCCTGTTTGATCCTTCCCAGGGCCACACTGTGACCAGGCTGTTAAACCACAGGAGGAAGGGGTGTTATCCCAATTAATGCAGCCTTGTTCCCTCCCCAGATCTCCAATGCCCTGCAGGCCCAGGGCGCTCCGTCCTTCCAGAGCAGCTTCCAGAGCATCCAGAGCAGCTTTGCCATCTGTGCCTTCGTGGGGGCCTTTGGAGGAGCCTTTTTCCTCCTGACATCTCTGTACATCGAGGGAGATCGGAGAGAAGCAGAAAGGCCCTGAGGTGTCTGTATGTCTTTATAACTTCTAGACTTGTAGCTGGTGGCTTTCCCGTGTGGACACCAGCCATGGTACGGGATCTGAACCAATATCTGTATTGGGGTAATGCCACATTACTTTCTACAAAAAAGATAAAGGCAAAATCCCAGCAAAGTCTCAGATTAAATAAACCTCCCATGTCGAGCAAAACAGACCCCAGAGCTCACAAGGACCAGGGAAGTGCTGATAGTGACATCTGCAAAATGCTGCAGTGCCTGGAGGAAATAACATCCTTTACTGTAGTGCACTAGTGCAGACTGCAGGGAACAGGAGGTTCTTCTTCTGCTCTGGTCTTTCTCAGCCCTGTAGAACCAGTCCTGGCTCTCTGTAGCACTTTTCCCTCTTCCCAGGGAAGTTCATGTTCAAAGTGTAAAAAACCTGAAGTAAACCTGTTGAATTGGACAGAACACATCCTCAGTCCTCTGGGTTCTTACAGCCTCCTTCTGCTCTGACTTGGTTTTCCAGGTACCAGCAAAGAACTGTCTCTCAGAGGAAGATGAACTCTGGGGCGAGATTTGCACAGAAGAAAAGACCATCCTCCCCTTTTTCTTTCCTTTTTGCTTAATGAGATACAGCTGGAGAAAAGGCCAAATCACAATTCCTCCATATGGCAGAAAATCCTGCACACTGACTTTTTTTTGGATGCTTTTGACTGTGAGTCAAAAATTGCTACTGCATTGGCATATGGCAACCCTCCCCCATCTGCAGCCAGGCCCGAGGACTCCGTGGGGCTGGGGAGCTCCAGGAGGTGTTTTATGGAGCTGTCACTGGCACCACTGCTGACCCCAACAAGGCAGGAGCTTTGGAGGCACAATGTCTCCTGGAGATTAGGGAGGGAGGCCTATGAGTTCTCAGCAGGATGAGATTTGTCTGTAGAATTTGGAAAATATAGACAGTACAAAGTCAGTGTCAGATTCAAGAGGGGGGGTCGTGATCATTTTATATGTAATGTGTTAATGGTCTCTTCCTAATCCTTTGAGGCTCTTCAGCATATCCTCAGGCCTTGGGTAAGTATCTCCTCTCAGGAGGGAACAGAAGCTGAAAAACCACTTAAACAGAACTGTCTATTTGAGCTCCTGTCTCTCAAGTGCAGAGGATTTGGGCTGTGGTATCTGCTGTCTCAATATCATGCCAGATACATGATCAGTGGGGCCAACTTTCATTGTTTGTCACAATATAGTTTCCAGCAGCACCTTAAAGCCAAAGCCTGAGGAGGATATTGGCAAGTGAATTGTGAAGTGTTATGAATCTTGCCTGATTCTCCCAGTAAATCATAAGGATCATAAAGCACAACATTCCTGTAATGGCTGTTAATGTCTAATGTCACTATAAATACCATAATTCAGCAACTGCAGGTTTTTGTTTCTCCTTCTGTCTACCTCATTTTAAAAAAATCTGTTCTGAAATCTGACTTAGACCCAGGTAGTGAAGGGTGACCATTGTGGGAAATAACAGAGAAGCTTTTTGTGAAACCCAGTAAGAGTGTGATAATTGTCTTTAAAATAAAAGTTGGTGTTCTGAAAGACTGAGCAACTTTTTCTGGTTGTGAAAGCCAGCCATGGCCATTATACCACCAATCTTTTGGAAATCTGTCCCACAAGGGATTTTTGGTCTTGGATGTGAATGCAACAGCTTGTAGAGGTCTAAGAGCTTCAGGCATGGCAGGACTGCAGCAGCTCCACAGTGCTTCCCTATTGCTATGCTCAGGATTTGCCCTGGAAACAGATGAGCTATTTATCACTTTTGTTAAGTCAGCATTAAATTCTTCTAATAAAAAATTAACCAGGAGCTGTATCTGCCCACTGTGCAGGCACGGATTTGACATATGAGCAAGAGATGCCAAATGCTGTTCTGGAAACGGTACACGGAGTCCGGGACAAACTCCTTCCTACTCCTACTCTCCTCTCCTCCCTGAAAGCCTAGAAATGAGCAGGATCACTCTGACTAGTTCAATTCCATCTTTGCAAATGCCTCTCTTTTTTCTTTGTAATTTAAGGACATTTGGCAATTTTTTGTTATTTTTTGCTGAATTTTAGCAGGACTAACACCCACTTGGGTTCTGGCCCTCTCTCTTGAAGACAGAACCTCACTAGGATTTGTAAAAGGAGGAGAATTTCATAATGTTTTCTGCATGTCTTGAATTTGCTTCTTAGCAGGTGGCACCAAATTCTGCACTGAGGGGTGAACTTAGTGCTGGAGGAGGCTGTGCTGAACTGCAGCTATTTCAGACATTACACTCTTTTCATGCCACCAAAAAACTTGGATTAGGGAAAGCCACAGAGTCCTGGCACATGGACAGTGAAGGAACTGAAGTTCTCTTAAGGCATCAGCTGAAATACCTGTTGTTTTCTACATTTCCAACTAAGTACAAGTAAGAGAAAAATAGAGGGATTAAAAAAGTTATTAAATTTGCTGCTTTGTCTACATTGGAAAGAGCTGCTGCTGGAAGCTGCTGGTTATGGAGATGGTTTGTTCTGCAGCATTCCTGCTGTCTGGAGTCCCTTGCAGCAACTGAATGATGTGTATTTTCTGTAACTGTTTGTATATTCTCCTCCTACATTTAACATTTCTTCTTTGCTCTTTCCCACCAAAGCAGTGGGAAAGAGGCACTTTGGAACAGTTCCAAAAGGTGGGATTTTATAATTCCATTCAGGTAACCATTTTGATCTTTTCCTCCCCTTCTTCCCTCATTCCCAAAGCAGGGACAGGTGACCTTCAGTGCTGTTTATGTGGATATTTTTTAAACAAGTTTTAGAGCTCTGCTTTGCATAAAAATGGCCTTCAGAGTTGTGATTATTTGGAGCTTCTACCAAAATGGGTGCAAGACACACCTAAGACACAACAGTGCCGTGCTGTGTCCCCAATTCTCCAGGGGTTCCTCCCCCCACTGATGTGCTGTGACATTGCTCTCAGCACAGTTTTAATTGTCAAAGACGTTCCATGTCACTTTTTCTCTCCTTCCCAAACCAGCAGCCCCGTGCACTGCTCTGGGATGGGCTTTCCCAGCTCCTCAGGATCTCCCTGTGCCAGGGCTGAAGGTGCAGAGCTCCCAGGTGACAGATTTACAGCTCCTGGGTGGGTGCCCTCTCCTAAGAACACCTCGTGTTTTCCTCCTCTTTGCCCTCGTTACTTGTGCAGCCAAATTGTCTTTTGCAAACTAAGAAACCCAAAAGTCCTCCACTATCCCAAAACTTTCAAGGCAAAAGTTTTCTTCAGAGATCCTTCTGCTGGTTTGCAAACACTGCTCACTCCTCAGGCCTCCTTTGAGCACTGGGTTCTCCCACCCTGCCCGTGAGGGTGCCTGGGACCGGGGAGCACTTCCCTCATCCCTTGGAATAGGCACAAACCCCATGGAAGAACATCTGTGGGGCTCTGCCAAGTCCTGCTGGTATTTGAGTAGCTGGAACTGGCTGTGTTCCATTACAGGAGAGCCACTGGGTTCATCTCAGTTCTATAATTATCCTCATTGTAATCCAATAAAGCCTTGGAAAGGTTCTTAGAAGGCTTTTTGTTTATAAGGGAAGCAAAGGTTGATATGAGGAGGCTCTTGAGCCTGATGCTGGTGAAGGTGATCTAAGTTGTGGGGATCTCACTTTGTGTAATTTAATGTTTCAGAACAGTTTTTTGTTAGTATGTAAATTACCCACATACCCTGGGATAATCAGATGGCTGGAATTCAGGACATTATTGTAAGGGCTGTCAAATCCCATTGCAGGAAAGTCCTTTGGAAATGCCCTGTTCAAAGTGCCCAGGTTTGGACTGTGACTCCATCCCAGCCAAGGGGGCTGGAGCAGGGCTTGGGAAACACACCCTGTGCCCCTAAATTCTGTGCCATGAAAAGCCTGACCTGTCCAGGGCTCGGCTCACACTGTGGACTAAGGTCTGACTTTATCTGCTCATACCTTCTGGTGTTAATATTCCTACAGTTAATATTTTTCTGTATTATTGTGAAATGCTTTTAAATGGAATCAAAAGGTAAATTCATGCATTCATGTACACAGATATAATTTGCTTTTCAGTACTGAATGTGTTGGGCAGGAGGCTTGAAACTGATGTAATAGGATGGGAATAATTTTTGAAAGTACTGACTCCAAGCCACCTATTTAATTCCACCTCAAGTACCCTAGGAAGTGGCCTGACTTCTCCCTTCCTTCATTCCTTTTTTCCCAAGAGCCTTGCATCCCTCTGTTCCTGACAAAGGCAGGCTGAGTAGCTGTGTGTTCAACACTCAAGGAAATTAGGCCATTTGCTTAAAGATTTGATTATGGGTTTAGAAGCCTAATCTTGGACATCTAATTTGGAAATCTTGGTTGTAGGCATTTTTTTCAGGAATATTTCCATCCTGTTCCACGAAAACATCACTTTAAGAAATGCAGGCCTGTGAGCAGAGCTTAAGCTTCAGTGTGGGAGGCAGTGCAACTGTTCTGCACAGTTTTTTGTCTTTTCAGGTTGCATTTTCAGCACCCGAACTTGGTTTTTGTGTATATGGACACCCTGCACAGAGGAGATGTCACTGGGATGGGGGTGGCAGAGGTGGGAGCAGGCAGAGCTGTGAGGGAGGACATGGAGTGAAAAAGGACACCTGAGTTCTTGCTGAGAATATTTCCACAGTAAAACCAGAGAAAAGAAGTTTCTTTAACCCATTCAGAGGTAAATGTGGATTCATCCAGTAGTGGAATAAAATGTGGATCACAGCCTACTTATAGGATGTGAGAAACATCTGCCCTCCAATGAGGCTGCAGAGGTGCAGGAAAAGGACCCAAATTCCTCCTCCTCCTGTCTTCCTCCTCCTTGCCTTTGGACTTTATTTCCAAAGGCCCTGAAAAGCCAGAGTTAAGACTCAGTTGTCCTGAGGCAGGATCTGTCCGAGGGGCAGTGACACCCATCTCCAGCAGGTGCTGCATGTGTCAGACACGCTGGGGGGGCAGTGCAGGTTGTCAGGGACACTGAGCTGTTTGTATTTGCTGCCCAGGCAGCCTTTGCTCCTTGCTGTTTTCCACCAGCCGAGGGCTGTGACAAGGGATAACAAGGGATGATGTTATTCTGTGTCTCCACAGGCTCCTTTCCACTGGGAGCTGCCTCTCCTGCTGTCAGCTGAGGACAGGACACGGTGTGTGACAGCACAGCCAGCACAGGTCCCTCAGCGGGCTCTGGAATGTGGCTTTGCTCCTCCTCCTTTCAGCCCTCGTGGCTACAGGGAATGTGTTCCAGCAGTCGGGAATGCTGAGAGCCCAAGGGAAACTGTCGCTGTCCCTGCAAGGGAGAGGCCTCCCAGCACAGGAGGCTGGACAGGGCTGGGCACTTCAGGGACTGACTCCAACAGGGACAGGGCAGACAGGGAGCTGGGAGTGCAGGGACATGGGAATGAACAGGAGGAGCAGGGGGGAATGAGGAATGACATCCAACATCCCATTCAGCAACGGTGACATCAGGATTTTACAGAAATGTCCAAATATATTGGTTCCTTTAAGGGATTTGTTTTAATCTGTGTTAAAATAGGAGTTTATATGTGCATTTGCCCCTCTAGCTCACTGCTTTAATAGGATTACCTTTAGCATCACCCTGTGGGCTCTTCCACTCCTCATTCCACATCTTCTGTGTCTCAGCAGATCCAATCAGGTGTTTTTTCATTGCTCAAC